CTCAGGCTGCAGGTGTAATGTCACCCAGGACAGGAGTCTCATCGGGAGCCCGACTAAGGAAGGACCTACTTCCAAGTGCCTTCAGTTGGCAGGAACAGAATCACTTCCTTCCGGCCTGCTGGGTTGGGAGCCTCAGTTCACAGCTGGCTGCCGGTCAGTTCCAGCCTCACTTGATTCCTTGTCACGTGGCCCTTCCTGGGATGGCTGCTTGCTTTACTGAGGCCAGCAAGGGAGGGTCTGATAGCAAGACAAGAGTTGGAATCTTTTGTGATGTTATCAGGCAGGTGAAATTTCCCTCAATGTGGAGGCCTTCTATTCATTGGAAACAAGGGCTGGAGGGAAGGAATGCACAAGGCCACGCAGAGACCACTGTGGGCCACTTTAGAAGCTGCCTAAGCATCCACATATTTCTTACTCTAATAATCCTTTTTACAAAGGAACTATTTTTAGAATGGCATAGCTTTGAACATTTTTAAAGTTATCTGCTCATTCTCCTATCCATGCTCAGGTAATACAGGAAGCAGTATAAAAATGCAAAACAACAAACTAATCCTTAATTTAAAGAAAAATAAATTGATATCAAACAATTTCCCCAAAAGTGGTCCTGTGGGATTTTTGGACCTAGAAGTGGGTGTGGAGCAAGGAGTCCCAAGTGTGTATGGCAGTGACACCAGACAGCAAACTGACGAGAAGCTGGGCCTGTATTTGTGGGGTTTGCAAAGTGGCATTTTGAAATTCAATAAAAGCCAAGTAACAAACCTAAACACTTGCCTAAAAGTTAAAGAGTGAGTACAATTAATCAGACACCAAGTGAATCTGCTCTGAGAGTTTAGGAAGCAACGATATAACACCCACACATCCTAACCAAGGTGGGTATCAAAAATGTGCAGTGGCCAGAAAATGTACCTTTAAGAGAACTGACAAGTGGGTTTTCATTAATGGAAAAGATATATTTTTTAAAAGTCTAATTCAGGGAGAGGCTGGGAAAATAGTTTTTCACTTTAGAGCAAGACTTCATCAACTTTCTATAAAATAATATGTGAAATATCAAAATTTAGAAAAATTAATACTGAATTGAAGGTGGGGAGTGTTAAGAAACAGCAAAGAGAACGAGTTCCCAATTGTGAGAAACAGCCCAATGTAATTCTGCCCAGAAATCTGTGTGTCAAAAAAATCTATGTATTGTATATATAAAAGCATCCCAACCTCAGTTTTATTGAAAACTAAAAAGAAATGCCCTCGTACACAGTCTCGTTTCTGGACTCAATAGATCAGTAATGAGGCAGATTAATCATCACTGAGCTCTATAGAACTTTAGGTTTTGCCTGGAAAATGTCTTACCTGCTTGACAAGAGACGCATCCTCACTCCTGTGGACTCCAGTAAGCTAAGCTGGCAGAACACATTAACTTGTGATCTTAGGGTTGCTTTACAACCAAACACAAACTTTTAAAAGCAGCCATATACTAATAGTACATTTTCTCTATGCTAAGAACAGTTTCTATCATCTGTAATTGGGTACCCAAGTCAGAAAAAAACCAAGGTTTGAATCCCGGCTCAAACTTTTTAGCTGTGCGACTTTTAGTTTATCACTTAATCCCTGAGCCTGACTTTATTTACGTAATACAAGTATCAACTCCGTGAGCCAGACCAGCCCCAGCCCCAGCCTCTTATAAATCCGTCTGTCTGTCCACAGATGCCACTGTGGAGAGACAATCGTAGGAGGAAGGGCTCTGTCCCTCCTCTCCACTCTCAGGTCCCTCTGCCATAAAAAGCCCAATCTCTATAAAGCTGTTGAAAATTGGTACCACAGCACACACAGAGCACTTAGGACACCGCTTGGCACATAGGAGGCACTCAGTAAACATTTAGCTGTTTTACTACTAGGAAATACGTCCTGGAGACACAGTAAGAAACCGGTAAGAAATCTTGGGGCAAGGGTAGAGGCCCTCCTGAGAACATGGTGTTTACTGGGAGTGGGGAGAAACAGCTGGGCATCTCCAGCAGGGCGGTGAGCAGACAGCCTTCCAGAACAGGAGAGTGTGGCAAACGCACCAGAGCTGCTAGGAAGTCAGTTGCACCCCCATAGGACACACAAGGCTGTCTAGGTGCTGAAGATGCGGGTGAGCAGGGCCAGCCAGTTCTCCCATCACACAAAGCTCACATTCCACGGGAGGGAGAGCAAACAAGCAGGAACAGATGTGGTAGCCATGAAGGCCATAGCACAAAGGATGGTAATCCCAGCACTTTGGGAGGCTGAGGCGTGGATCACCTGAGGTCAGCAAACATGGTGAAACGCGGAGGAGGAGCTTGCCTTTGATGGAAGTTCTTTGAGCATCTGAGAAAGGGTGCCGGCCATGCCAAAGCTTGGGGAAGAACCTGAGACACCAGCACTGAGCTGGCTCAAAGAGCAGGAAGGCCACTCAGTTGGAGCTCACAGAGGATGGCGGTGGCGAGGAGTGAGGGCCTTCAGACTGCAGGAAGGAGCCTGGGCTTTAGACCACATGCAGGCAATTATCCTCATATAGAAGCAGGGAATGTAGATTCTGGTTTACCTCTTTGAAAAGGTAACTCTGTCCTCTGTGGAGAGAGGGCTCTGGAGCTAAGAGCAAGCAGGTGGTCTGGTGAGAGGACAGCTACAGTGGCCTCAGAGATGACTGAGCTCAGGCTACTGTGGTTGGTGCTGAGATTTGTTAGAGGCAGGCACATTTTAGAGGGACTGATGTGAGGGTTTGCGGGTAAGGAAATGGGTAGGTAGAATGAGGAAAGCAAGGAGAAGCCGATGAGGCAGGGAAGGAATCAGAAGTTTGAGCTGCCTACATGGTAACCAAATGGAAACATCTGGCTTGACACACGAGTCAAGAGCTCAGAGGAGAGGTGGAGACTCAGTCTATCAGTGTAGGAAGGGATGGGAAGGAACAAAGACAGATCTCAGATGGAAGGCTCACTAAAGCCAAGCTTCTGCTGCAATCTTGCCTGGGCACTGCTCTTCCACGTTGGCAGCTGTCACGAAGACAGCGTAGTCTGCATTTGCTTTATGAGTGGCGACTGGTTGCACAAATCATTTGTTCATATCCACCTGCTCTTAAAATGCCAAGCACCATGTTTCCAAATCACAGACATAGGACAAACTGCAGATCCATGAAAGTCACTTTTTAAAAAATGTTTTATACATTTGAGCACAGAAAGTCACTTTTAAAGAAGAGTCACCTTTGGCCGGGCACAGTGGCTCATGCCTGTAATCCCAGCACTTTGGGAGGCTGAGGCGTGGATCACCTGAGGTCAGCAAACATGGTGAAACCCCGTCTCTCTACTAAAAACACAAAAATTAGCCAGGCATAGTGGTGGGTGCCTGTAATCCCAGGTACTTGGGAGGCTGAGACAGGAGAATCACTTGAACCCCAGGAGGAAGTCGTAGTGAGTCTAGATTGTGCCACTGCACTCCAGCCTGGGTGACAGAGCTAGACTCTGTCTCAAAATAAGAACAAAAGAAAGAATTACCTATGCAGTTTTGTCGTTTAACCCTGTTTTTTTGACCTTCTGAGTATAAACTGAAAGGCAAAGTAACAGTTGCACCAAATTGGAACTATTATGACCACTAGGAACTGACCTTGGCAAACACTTAAAAGACTGTGCCCAACAGTCTTAAAAAGCAATAGCTTTTAAAACTTTTAAGGCTGAATATAGTCAAGTAAGTAAAAATTCAAGTATGAAGTCATCTCATATTTGATGTACAAAACCTAGAAGTCAAGCAGTTATCAGTAAAAGTACCACCTATTTAACTTGTAGGAAAAAAATGTTTTTACAAATTTGATTTCTAAGCAAAAATTACTCGGCAAAAGTAAAACACGGTGGAAGAAAACAGGGATCTGTTTTTCTATCAAGCTCACATTCACTGCTCTTCAACTGTAATTGGCTTAAGTCATCTGGCCAGCTTTCTACAAGTCCCCGGGTCTTCCTACTCCACATAATATCCAATTGTGATCGTCCCTGAGCTACCACATAAATCTGGGATTCTGTTGCTTCAAAGTCAAAGGCAAAGAGCTGGGGGTCAGAAAGCTTCATCAGGTAACTCTCTAGTAATGGTGAGAAGAACAATTAATAACCACATTCCTCCTGGGTAAAACCATGTCCCTGCCTCAATCTCAAGCCTGCCACATAATGGTTCTCGGGGCCTGCTGTCTCCCTCCCTGTGTCCCACTGGAGTCTGCCTCATCTGTACCAGCTTCTGCCAGCAGCTGTCCCGTCTAGCTTTACCTACAGCACATGCGCTCGAAGGAGAGGTAAAGACTCAAGATAACAACATGGGACTCTCTCTGCTGTGTCTGCACAGACTATGAAGACTTCCCTTCTCAGTAAAACAATAACCAGCTGCTTGAAAAGTAAGTTGTCCTTTCTCTGGGAAACTAGCTAAACGAAGAAACAGAGAAAGGGAGTGAGAGGAAACTGTGTGATGGAGGATAAAAAAATCACAGAACAGACCGAGAAGCTTGAAAATAATTAACAGAATAAAGTGATATTCTAATTTCTTTATGACAGCACAGAAAAAGACATGCTCACTGAAAAATTTCTGGATATACCACATTAAAATATATGCCATATTTATTCAGAATATCATAATCAATACAAACAAAGAACTCTCTTCTCACCTGTAAAAGTTAAGTACAATACTGTAGGCTAGATACATGATATTTCAGTCAAGTCTTCAGTATTAGCTTGTAAAAACAAAAAAATTTACAATTATAGACATCCAATTTATCATACAAAATATATATACAAAAGCATAATTGTAGTGTAGAAAGATAAAGTTACCAAAATAGAACTTATGTTTTACTTTACACAAAAATGTATTCCAGTTAATTTTTTCAGAAAGCTTCACCAATTAGTCGAATAGCGATACTCTTGCCTTCATCTGTTTGAATGACAAGCAAAGCTTCGAATCTGCCCGTGGACTTCGGTTTGAACTGCACAGGCATGTTGATGTAATGCTGGGCTCTGGAAAGAGAGAAGCACATGACAGGTGCATGTCGTGGCAGCACCAGCAACCCCGTCCCAGGTAGCACAAGGCCTGGCTTAGGTGTTGACGAAAGAGCTTGGTCAAGTCATATTCAGCTTAAATGTATTTATACTTTCTTTGATGCTATTATTTAATGAGAAAATGACACAAAGGAGAGAAAAATATAAAACTGGATTACAACAGTATTACATACATATACATTCCTGGCTATTCAGTAACTATTAATATGTAAAAAGGAAATAAGAGGTCTAAACTATCATACATACAGCTTTGTATTCTGCTTGCAAAAGCTATCTACCTAAGAAAGGGGAAATGCCCTTGTTTTACTCAGACAGCATACTGTACTGGAAAGATTAAAACAACTTGTCCCAATCCTATCATTAATGGGCTGTGCAGATTTTGCTGTAAAATTCATATGAAACTTTTTTTGTTTTTTTTGAGATGGAGTTTCACTCTTGTCACCCAGGCTGGAGTGCAATGGCATGATCTTGGCTCACTGCACCCTCTGCCTCCCGGGTTCAAGCGATTCTCCTGCCTCAGGCTCCCAAGTAGTGGGATTATAGGCGCCCGCCACCGCACCCAGCTAATGTTTATATTTTTAGTAGAGACGGGGTTTCACCATGTCGTCCAGGCTAGTCTCAAACTCCTGGCCTAAAGTGATCTACGCCCCCTTGGCCTCCCAAAGTACTGGAATTACAGGCATGAACCACCACACCTGGCCCAAAACTCTCATCAAAAATCCTGTAGAAACTTTACATTCAAATTACAGTATAGAGAGGCAGGTAATGAGTGCCCTACGGTTAAAAATAATATTCGGGGGGGGGGGACGGTTGTTTTGTCCCTAAAACTATGTTCTAAGAGCTTCAAAATACGCCTGCAGTACAGTGGTGAATAAGGCTACATACACATTACATACAGTCCATGTGATGTCATCAACCTCTAGGCTTAGCCATTTTTAAGTGAAAGTGTTGAGCTCACAGGGAAGGTACTTCACCCCTCAGTCTCATCTCAGAGTTCTGTGTTTTAAAGACTGGCAACCAGAGTGATGTTATGTTTTAGTTTCCAGCATCTGTCCTGAAAAACCCAGCAGCATAGGCTCTTGGGTGCACAAGAGTACACCAGGCACGAGGTTTAGAAAACAGCTACAGTACTTAAAAGCCCTTTTCCTGTATATAACTGATAACACAAATAACATATGTTCTTAAATATATCTACATAGACCAAAGGTGTTTATGTGTATCTCATTATATATTTGTATTTAAAGTCTGCGTTATTTTCCCCAAATGCCATTATACTTGTTTTACCATGTCAAAGATAATATACTTAAAAAAAAAAAAAAAACCAAATCTGGCCCATGGCACTAGCTACAATTTTCTCTTTCATGTTGGCAGGTCAATACTTGGATAAATATGGTACAACCTGCCTATTTAGGAGGCATTATAACTTATGAATTACTAAAAATAATAAAATATCCCAAAACAAATCTCTGGAAGAACTCATTATTAACAAATTTCATCACAGAATATACAATTGTTCTATATTCAGCTAAAAATGTAAAAGTGTATTGTGATAAGTCCTCTGAGCCCAGTGGGGAGGTCTAGTTCAGATCCTCTCTCTTGCTAATGATGGATTTGACTGCAAAGGCACACAGAACAGAAATGCATCCAGGGAGCAGAGAGGCCATCGGGTTATGCATGCTTAGCTCCCAATTCCCCACAGGCCCCATCTACATGGAAAGGGCTTAGTGGAACCCACATATTCTAGCAACCATACTTCCTCTTTCAAAACACTCCTTTTTTAAAAAAAAAAAAAAAAAAATAGATTCTGGCTCTGTCACCCAGGCTGGAGTGCAGTGGCACAAACTTGGCTCACTGCAACCTCCACCTACCAGGTTCAAGTGATTCTCCTGCCTCAGCTAAAGAGCTGAGACTAAAGGCATGCGCCACCATGCCCAGCTAATTTTTGTATTTTTAGTAGAGAGAGGGTTTCACCATGTTGGCCAGGATGGTCTCGATCTCCTGACCTTGTGACCCGCCCGGCTTGGCCTCCCAATGTCCTGGGATTATAGGCGTGAGCCAGTGTGCCCAGCCTACTTTTTGTATTTTTAGTAGAGGCAGGGTTTCACCATGTTGGCTAGGCTGTTGAACTCCTGAACTCAGGTGATCCACCTACCTCGGTCTCCAAAGTGTTGGGATTATGGGTGTGAGCCACCATGCCTGGCCCAAAACATTTTGTTAAAGGAATACTTCCTACAGAAAAAAAGCCAGTACACTAGCACATACAAGGTACCACCATTAACAAAGAAACTCAAAAAGGTAATGAAATTTGGTTCCCACACATGGATGAAAAGCTCAATGATAACTCTGTTCCTTGGCTTGTCACTTTTCTAGGAATTGTCTTTCTCTCCCAAATTACATGCAGGATCTGCCAGGATTGTGCAGCTTGCACTGTGTGAGGACATGAGGGCACAGTTGAGATGAAACCTGTTAGCCACACACCTCAGCTGGGATTAGATGTGCATAAAACAATAGGTTAAGAGAAAGATGCTTTTTGGGACTAAGTAGAAACATAAATTATTTTTAAAAAGATATAAGAAAGAGATAATCACTCAGAACCCTCAAAAAAGAACCTTTACAAAAAAAACCTGTTAGCAATGTTTCCTTTTCCCTATTACATTACTTACAATCTATGTTCACCCACCTCTGCACTAGGCAAAACCCCTGTACCTTCTTGGGGGAACTCTTCTGCCTCCTTAACCTGCAGTTTACAGCCTATAGGCATAGCCACTTTCCTGTGCTAGTGCCAGAGCTTACAGAGAGCAGCCCCACCAGGCCTCCTGGTAGCCTCGGAAAAAGTGCGTATTTGTAAGTAATTATCTCATGTACCCTACGGATAACTACAATCCTATTATTACTTTGGAAATGTTTAGTTAATGATGTCATAAAGCAGACAGTGATCTAACAAATGAAAAATGTGATTAACTAAAGGCTGGGAATTGCTTCTCAGGGCTTTAAAGGCATAGATTTTGTTCCACTGCCAAGGCAAGCTAACTGTTGTTCTCATCTGGCAATTATGTTTTGTGAGCCTTTGTCTAAAGGCACAGTGTCTCATGTTTGGGACAAATACAATAGCACACAATGCCATGAGTGCCTATGACTTTAGTTCTGTGGTAAGAACTGTCATTGGGGTTCCTGTAGCATCTGCCTCTACTGTCCTGCTACTTATCCAAGGTCAACACAGGTCATTCTCTGTTACAAAGGAGCCCCTGTTTCCACCTTTCTTTGTGTAAAATTTACTTACAAAGTTTCCTGTAACCCAGAGTTTAGTTCATTTGGTTAAAAAGATCACAGAATTAGTGATTTACACATGATTTTCTTACTCATACTTTAACAAATTAACAATGAGCTGCTGCTATTAAAACTACTGCTGGGAGGAAAAAGAAGATGGCACGGTAGGAGCAACTCAGGATTGTAGTTCTCAGTGAAGACACAGAGGGTGATTGCAAGCCGCATTTCCAGACGGATCTTTGTTGCCCACAGAACGGGGAGATTCCCAGGTGTAGGAGAGACACGGGACACCAGCGCAGCTGTTTCGGCTGGCATGGCTGTTTCGGCTGGCGCCACAGTGCAGCGGCACTCTGCACAAAACGCACTGGTCAGGGTGCCCTGTTAAACCGGCAATCTGAGATTTGGGAGGGCAGATTAGCATATCCATCTGATTAAACGGGACTTGGACAGTGAGCCAGACCAGGAGATTCCTGGGAAGCGATGTTTGAGCTGGCGCAGTGGGTCGCTGTATAGGAAATCACACAGATCCTGGTGCCCTATCAGCAGGCAACTGAAACACCTGAAAGAGAGTCAACCGTTGAACTTAAAAAAAAAAAAAAAGCGGGGGGGGGCTCTGAGGCAGGGAGCCAGGTGATCAGGCTCAGGGGGTCCCACCCCCACAGGGACAAACAAAACGGCGATTCGAAACGCTCGGGGTTGAGAGTTTCACTGTGGGCACAGCTGAACCCAGGACGGTGCACCTCAGTGAGAGAAGGGGCGTCCGACATTACCGAGGCATCCCGCCCCTACTGAGGTACACTCCCATTGCTGATGCAGCCTGCCATTGCCGAGGCAACCTGCCATAACAGAGCGACTCCGCCAACAGGGCGGCGCCCACAACAGCAGGGCGGACCCCATGGCAGCAGGGCGGAGCCTCAGCAGGCAAATACTGACTAGACTGCCTCCTCGCTGGGCAGGACAGTGCAACGGATACTCCAAAAAAAAGCCCTAACTCCCCAAGACAGAGCATCTGAGGAAAAAAAGGGATTTTATGAGTTCTGCTGCAGCAGATTTAAATGTACCTTCCTAACAGCCCTGAATGATCAACGGAGCACACAGCTCAGCACTTGAGTTCCTACAAAGTACAGACTGCCTCCTCAAGAACCGTGTATATCCAAAGAGTCACCTCAAAAAGGATTGATCACACTGACATTTAGCGGGCATCATTCTGGGACAAAGATAGTAGAAGAAGAAACTGGTAACATCCCTCACTGTTCCGCAGCTGCTACAGGTGTACCCCAGACAAGCAGGGCCTGGAGTGGACCTCAGCAGTCGTACAGCAGAGGGGCTAGACGGTTAGAAGGAAAACTAAGTAACAGAAATACTTCATCATCAACAATCTGGGCATCCACTCAGGGACCCAATCGAAAAGTCAGCAACTACTCAGAAGACAGGTGGATAAACCCACAAAGATGGGAAGAAACCAGCGCAAAAAGGAGGAAAACACCTGAAACCAAAACACCTTGCCTCCTACAAAGGACCAAAACTCCTCACCAGCAAGGGAACAAAGCTGGACAGAGAATGAGTGTGATGAAATGATGGAATCAGGCTTCAGAAGGTGGGTAATGAGAAACTTCTGTGAGCTAAAAGAACATGTTCTAAATCAATGCAAAGAAACTAAGAACCTTGAAAAAAAGATTTGAAAAAAGATAACAAAAATGGACAACTTAGAGAGAAATATGAATGAATTGAAGGAGCTGAAAAACACAATACGAGAACTTCACGAAGCATGCACAAGTTTCAACAGCCGAATTGACCAAGCAGAAGAAAGAATATCAGAAGTCGAAGATCAACTCAATGAAATAAAATGAGAAACCAAGATTAGAGAAAAAAGTGCAAAAAGGAATGAACAAAGTCTCCAAGAAATGTGGGACTATGTGAAAAGACCAAACCTATGTTTGATAGGTGTCCCAGAATGTGACAAAGAAAATGAATCCAAGCTGGAAAATACTCTTCAGGATATTATCCAGGAAAATTTCCCCCACCTAGCAAGGCAGGCCAATATTCAAGTCCAGGAAATACAGAGAACACCACAAAGATATTCAATTCCGCAAGAAGAGCAACCTCAAGGCACATAATCATCAGATTCACCAAGGTTGAAATGAAGGAGAAAATACTAAGGGCAGCCAGAGAGAAAGGTCGGGTCACCCACAAAGGGAAGCCCATCAGACTCAAAGCAGATCTCTTGGCAGAACCACTACAAGCCAGAAAAGAGTGGGGGCCAATATTCAACATCCTTAAAGGAAAGAACTTTCAACCCAGAATTTCATATCCAGCCAAACTGAGCTTCATAAGTGAAGGAAAAATAAAATCCTTTGCGAACAAGCAAGTACTCAGAGATTTTGTCACCACGAGACCTGCTTTACAAGAGCTCCTGAAAGAGGCACTACACATAGAAAGGAACAACCAGTACCAGCCATTCCAAAAACATACTGAATGCTAAAGAGCATCAACAAAATGAAGAATCTGCATCAACTAATGGGCAAAACAGCCAGCAAGCATCAAAATGGCAGGATCAAATTCACACATAACAATATTAACCCTAAATGTAAATGGGCTAAATGCACCAATCAAAAGACACAGACTGGCAAACTGGATAAAAATCCAAAACCCATCAGTGTGCTGTATCCAGGAAACCCATCTCACATGCAAGGATACACAAAGGCTCAAAATAAAGGGATGGAGGAAGATTTATCAAGCAAATGGAGAGCAAAAAAAAAGCAGGAGTTGCAATTCTCGTCTCTGATAAAATAGGCTTTAAAGCAACAAAGATCAAAAGAGACAAAGAAGGTCATTACATAATGGTAAAAGGATCAATACAACAAGAAGAGCTAACGATCCTAAATATATATGGATTCATTACAGGAGCACCCAGATATATAAGGCAAGTTCTTAACGACTTACAAAGAGACTTAGACTTCCACACAATAATAGGGGGAGATTTTAACACTCCACTGTCAATATTAGACACATCAACGACAGAGAAAATTAACAAGGATATCCAGGGCTTGAACTCAGACCTGGAACAAGCAAACCTGATAGACATTTACAGAACTCTCCACCCCAAATCCACAGAATATACATTCTTCTCAGCACCACATCACACCTACTCTAAAATTGACCACATAAATGCAAGTAAAGTACTCCTCAGCAAATGCAAAACATCTGACATAATAACAAACAGTCTCTCAGACCACAGTGCAATCAAGTTAGAACTCAGAATTCTGAAACTAACTCAGAACCACACAGCTTCATGGAAACTGAACAACTGGCTCTTGAATGTTGACTGGATAAACAATGAAATGAAGGCAGAAATAAAGAAGTTCTTCAAAACCAACGAGAATGAAGACACAACACACCAGAATCTCTGGGACACATTTAAAGCAGTCTCTAGAGGAAAATATATAGCAATAAGTGCCCATATGAGAAGAGTGGAGAGATCCAAAATTGACACCCTATCATCAAAATTGAAAGAGCTAGAGGAGCAAGATCAAAAAAACTCAAAACCTAGCAGAAGACAAGAAATAACTAAGATCAGAGCAGAACTGAAGGAGACAGAAACACAAAAAACCCTTCAAAAAATCAATAAATCCAAGAGCTGGTTTTTTGAAAAGATCAACAAAATAGACAGACCACTAGCCAGATTGATAAAAAAAAGAAAAGAGACCAACCAAATAGATGCAATAAAAAATGATAAAGGGGAAATCACCACAGATTCCACAGAAATTCAAACCATCATCAAATAATATTACAAACAACTCTATGCAAATAAACTGGTAAACCTGGAAGAAATGGATAAATTCCTGGACACCTGTGTCCTCCCCTCCCAAGCCTAAACCAGGAGGAAGGCAAAACTATGAATAGAGCAATAACAAGGTCTGAGGTCGAGGCAGCAATTAAGAGCCTACCACACAAAAAAAGTCCAGGTCCAGATGGGTTCACAGCCGAATTCTACCAGACACACAAAGAGGAGCTGGTACCATTCCTTCTGAAACTATTCCAAGCAATCCAAAAAGAGGGAATCCTTCCCAAATCGTTTTATGAGACCAACATCATCCTGATACCAAAACCCAGCAGAGACCCAACAAGAAAAGAAAACTTCAGGCCAATATCCATGATGAACACAGATGCAAAAATCTTCAATAAAATACTGGCAAGCCGATTGCAACAGCACATCAAAAAACTTATCCATCATGATCAAGTAGGATTCACCCTGGGGATGCAAGGCTGGTTCAACATACGCAAGTCTATAAATGTAATTCACCACATAAACAGAACCAAAAACAAAAACCACGATTATCTCAATTGACCCAGAAAAGGCATTTGACAAAATTCAACAGCTGTTTATGCTAAAAACCCTCAATAAACTTGGTACTGAGGGAACGTATCTCAAAGTAATAAAAGCTATTTACGACAAACCAACAGCCAATATCATACTGAATGGGCAAAAACTGGAAGCATTCCCTTTGAAATCCGGCACTAGACAAGGATGCACTCTTTCACCACTCCTATTCAATACAGTACTGGAAGTTCTAGCCAGAGCAATCAGGCAAGAAAAAGAAATAAAGGGTATTCAAATAGGAAAGGTGGAAGCCAAATTGTCTCTATTTGCAGACGACATGATAGTATACCTAGAAGACCCCATTGCCTCAGCCCAAAAACTCCTGAAACTGTTAAGCAACTTCAGCAAAGTCTCAGATATAAAATCAATGTGCAAAAATCACAAGCATTCCTATACACCAATAACAGACTTAAAGAGAGCCAAATCAAGAACGAACTGCCATTCACAATTGCTACAAAAAGAATAAAATACCTAGGAATACAACTTACAAGGAACATAAGGAACCTCTTCAAGGAAAACTACAAACCACTGCTCAACGAAATAAGAGAGGACACAAACAGATGGAGAAACATTCCATGGTCACGGTTAGGAAGAATCAATATCGTGAAAATGGCTATACTGCCCCCAAAGTAATTTACAGAATCAATGCTATCCCCATCAAGCTACCATTGACTTTCTTCACAGAACTGGAAAAAAACCACCATGAACTTCATATGGAACCAAAAGAGAGCCCACATAGCCAAGTCAATTCTAAGCAAAAAGAACACAGCAGGAGGCATCACACTACTGGACTTCAAACTATACTACAAGCCTACAGTAATCAAAACAGCATGGTACTGGTACCAAAACTGAGATATAGACCAATGCAACAGAACAGAGGCATCGGAGGCAACACAACATATCTACAACCATACAATCTTTGATAAACCTGACAAAAACAAGCAATGGGGAAAGGATTCCCTGTTTAACAAATGGTGTTGGGAAAACTGGCTAGCCATGTGCAGAAAGCAGAAACTGGACCCCTTCCTGACACCTTACACTAAAGTTAACTCCAGATGGATAAAAGACTTAAACATAAGACCCGGCACCATAAAAACCCTAGAAGAAAATATAGGCAAAACCATTCAGGACATAGGAGTAGGCAAGGACTTCGTGAACAAAACACCAAAAGCATTGGCAACGAAAGCCAAAATAGACAAATGGGACCTAATCAAACCCCACAGCTTCTGCACAGCAAAAGAAACAGTCACTAGAGTGAATCGGCAACCAACAGAATGAGAAAAAATATTTGCAGTTTACCCATCTGACAAAGGGCTGATATCCAGAATTTACAAAGAACTCAAACAGATTTACAGGAAAAAAACAAACAAGCCCATTCAAAAATAGGCAAAGGATATGAATAGACACTTTACAAAAGAAGACATACATGAGGCCAACAAACATGAAAAAATGCTCATCGTCACTGGTCATTAGAAAGATGCAAATCAAAACCACATTGAGATACCATCTCACGCCAGTTAGAATGGCGATCATTAAAAAATCTGGAGACAACAGATGCTGGAGAGGATGTGGAGAAATAGGAACAATTTTACACTGTTGGTGGGAGTGTAAATTAGTTCAACCATTGTGGAAGACAGTGTGGTGATTCCTCAAGGCCTTAGAAACAGAAATTCCATTTGATCCAGCAATCCCATTACTGGGTATATATCCAAAGGACTATAAATCGTTCTATTATAAGGACACATGCACACGAATGTTCATTGCAGCACTGTTTACAATAGCAAAGACCTGGAATCAACCCAAATGCCCATCGATGGTAGACTGGACTGGGAAAATGTGGCACATATACACCATGGAATATTATGCAGCTATCAGAAATGATGAGTTCGTGTCGTTTGTAGGGAAATGGATGAATCTGGAGAACATCATTCTCAGCAAACTGACACAAGAACAGAAAATGAAATACCGCATATTCTCACTCATAGGCGGGTGATAAAATATGAGAACACATGGACACAGGGAAGAGAGTACTATACACTGGGGTCTATTGGGAGGAATAGGGGAGAGACAGTGGAGGGGGGAGCTGGGGAGGGATAGCCTGGGGAGAAATGCCAAATGTGGGTGAAGGGGAGGAAGGCAGCAAAACACACTGCCATGTGTGTACCTATGCAACTATCTTGCAAGTTCTGCACATGTACCCCAAAACCTAAAATGCAATAAAAATAAAAATAAAAAAAACTGCTGAAATCTGTACTGTTATGTATTTACAAAATAACTGATGAAGACTTTCTGGAAATTCATTATAATCAGAATAACAAGTGTCTGCCACTAATAAAGTATAAAATTATTTTATTCAAATTTATCTTCATTTTAAAAGATTGAAATATGTTTAGGGTACAAACTATGCCTTGTAGCTTGAGATACTATTTTAAATGCTAACTTAATTAAACTGTCCAAATTTTGCTTAATTTAAAAATATTTTCTAATGTTTCTAGATTCTTTCAGATGCCATTAACATGACCCAGGCTGCACAGGAATGCAGTGCTCTAATTTATGACTCTAATTTCAAGCACTAGAACGGCAAATCAACAAGTTCATTTCCATAAAAATGTCTTCTTTTAAATGACCAGCAAGGAACACATTTCATATCTCAAAAGTGGTTTACAGAAAACAAGCTGATGCTAAGCAAAATATCATCTCATTTATAAAATTTGAGTTTCTCATTAAAAATGTTTTAGGCATCTTTCAAAAATCCCCTTATCTGATTTCCACTCGGTTGGTCTTGTCCCTACACTCCATATCAGAAATAGACTATGCCATCTGTAGCACTATTGTGATGAAATAGGTTTAGGTTCTTTCTCTGCAAAGAGTCAAATCTGAATTGGCCCACAAATTTTGGCAGAAATGCAATTCATTAAAAAAATCTGTGAAGGCAAATTAAGCAAAGAATGTAACAGAAAAAAAGAATTTGAAATGACAACGTATTCAATAATGGAAGTTGGAAAATGAATGTTTAACTGCAGAAAGTTTTGACTGCCTCATACCTAGCCATAAAATGGAGAACGGTGACATAAAGCTGCAATTTAACAAGTTATTTTAAATAATGATTCTCTACCAAAACTACAGATGAGTATGAGGTATATGTAAATATTGTTTTTTTAAAGTTGGTACTAGACTCTTCAAGGTAATTAAAAAATTTTTTTTATTTTCAACACTCGGGGAAAAGGTAATTTTTTAAAATGAAACTTTGTTTAGAAGCTTTTATAAATATTTTATTTATTTTTGAGACAGAGTTTCACTCTTGTTGCCCAGGCTGGAGTGCAATGGCATGATCTTGGCTTGCCTCAGCCTCCCAAGTAGCTAGGATTACTGGCACCCCACCCCGTATCTGGATAATTTTTGTAGTTTTAGTAGAGATGTGGTTTCATTATGTTGGCCAGGCTAGTCCAAACTCCTGACCTCATGTGATCCGCCTACCTTGGCCTCCCAAAGTGCTTGAATTACAGGTGTGAGCCACCATGCCTGGCCTAAAAATATATTTTTTAAGGTAAGAAGAGCTCCTTGAAATAAAAATCTAAAGTCCTTCCAATTTGTGACAGATGTACGCCAGTTTATACAATTGATCCACTCACAGCACGTTTAAAAATATACCCTGCAAAAAGCTGGTGAAGATGTGGGACGTGAATCAATCTGAGGAAGCAGAATGAATAATGCAGTTATGATAAAATTTGAGTTTAGATAATAATAGTGTTCAGGATAATTTAGTCAGTATCTATTTGGTACTCAGTTACTAAAAATAGTTGTAACAATTAGAAATTTAAATGATCTTTTTCTGAATAAACTAATTGCCTCTGCAGTTGTGCTACCATGTATTTTAGTAGTTCCAACCTATTATTATACACACTATGGCATCACTAGTCTCAAATCAATTGGGGCAGCCTAGAATAACTGGAGAGATCCACAGACTACTGTGAGAGGAAAGCTCAGATCACAGAAGTTGGAAAACTTGGATTTGGCTGATTTTACACTTGGGCCTTTCTCTTCTATGTAGTTGTCACAGGTATTAAATGAAGATACTAAGATATAGTGAAGTTCTATCAAAATTGTGGAGTGAGTGCTGATGCATCCTGCCAGCCAAGGTCACCTACAGGGGAGATTTAATGATGATCATGAGGAAGACATTAACACCTGCTGATGCTTGCTATGTCTGGGCATTATTACCACATCTCTTAAATAATTCTCACAATTCTATGCTGTCAGTAGCACTGGCATCTCCATTTTACAAATAAGGAAATTGAGGCCAAAGAGTTTATCAAGTTTATGATAATTTTTAGATATATTCATTGTTGAATTTGCAGAACTAAAATCTATAGTTTGTGCCTTTAGGTCAGTCTCCTGGGAGGGAAAGGATGCATTTAGCCCTCAAGCATATTAAAATATTTTATAGTCCATAGAAGAAGGAAGGGGTGGTACAAGAGAGAAAAGAATAAAAAGAAAGAGTAAGGTAGAAGGAACAGTCCTCAATCAAGCCATCTTTCCAGTATCCAGAGCTGTAAGTGAGCTTCAATTGTACAGTACTGCTGGTCTTAGTAACTGATGAAATGACAGGCCCATAATGTTTGCAGAGTGGCCCAAATTTTCATAGAATATAACATGTTTCTGGAATAGTCTCCTAATGCTAAAATGAGAGACATTACAATAAGTAAATGACTTAAAGATTCAAAGATGAAATTAAAATTATTCTTCAGCATTAAGCCCAATAGAACCCTACTGTTAAGTTCTAAATAACAATGACAACCCAGTTTGAGATTTCAACCTAAATGTGCATCATATAGAAAAGAAAATCAGCAAGGATGACAAGAAAATCAGGCCCTGATTAAGAACAGTATGGGGTGTCTGAAGGATGACAACTGAAAAACGCCACAATAAAAGTTTTCCCAATTAATCTAAAAAGGTTTTCATCCCAATTAATGAAAATCTAAGCCCTTGACTCTCAGCATACCAGTGAAAATCACATTTGAAACAGTAATTACTCTAAAAGTCAGTCTTAAGATGATTACAGCTCTAAGATTTATGTGGCTACAAATCCTAGGTGGGAGGAGTCACAACAGCACAAACGCGGTGCACTGCATCAAGGCTGAGTGCACCATGGACAGTCAGGAGCTGCCCCCCTGCAGGTTCCATTTCTCTGCTTTGACTTGCAAAGACACAAGTGCTTAAACTGTTTGGTGCTGGTGAGGAATATGGAGAGGCTGCAGCAGAGGAGACCTCACAAGCCCCAATTCCCAAGAGACAAAGTCTGGCATCGCTAATGAGAACACTGTGATCTAAATAAACTTACCTCAAAGAGTACTTGGAATGTTTGACATAGAATGGCTCTCTGGGACTCAAAAACTTCAGCTGGAATAAAAAAAAACACCTTATAAAGTTATGAAAATTTGATATTTTAGCATATATAAGCATAGTATGCATTTATTTATTACAGATACATTTTGCAAATTTAGGTATTGCCACAAAATTAGGTAGGACAACACATGCTAATGTAATGAAAACAAATTTAAGACAATTTTAACATGAATTTACTCTAGTTTTAAGTAAAGGTTCTCCAAAAATATTTGTGTATAATAGTATAGAAGAAAAAGTTAAAAATTAAAATATAAAAACAAATTTTTGAACTTCCAGTGTGTTTATTTTCAAATACAAAATTAAGGCACTTTGTGGGGGATGGGGCCAGGGTCTTGCTCTTTCACCGTGGCTGAAGTGCACTGGCACAATCATGGCTCAAGGCAGTCTCAACCTCCCAGGATGAAGACATCCTCTTCTCATCTCAGCAGCCCAAAGTAGCTGAAAGTACAGGCATGTGCCACCATGCCCAGCTAGGTTTTTTTTTTTTTTTTTTTTTTTTGGTAGAGATGGAGTCTCACTATATTGCCCAGGTTGGTCTTGAACTCCTGTGATCAAGCAATCCTCCTGCCCTCGCTGCCGAAAGTCCTGAATTACAGGTGTGAGTCACCACACCTAGCTTTATATTGCATTTTAAAAAATTAGCTAATTATTACAACTTAAATATAGTCTACAGAACAAGTTTCTAATCATCAGGAAAATGTTTGTTATCAGAGTTGAATGCATTTTTTCCAAAACCCATAATATTTCCAACTTACTGAGTGTGTAATAAAAGAATTATTTCGCAGATTGACTTTGAGTGTCCGTGATTCCCCCACACTAGTTGGCAGGAACCTGTACACATCCTCTGGGGCATAAACTCCACGAGCAGTCACATCAAGCTGCCTGCTTAGGGAATAGGTGTAAAAATTAAGAATTTGAAATCCACATTAACTTAAAACTATTTTTATATATTAAAATTATGTAGTGTTGCATTAATTTGCGTTTTTCCTGGCAATTCATTTTTAAAAATAAGTTTTGTAATGGCAACTTATCTAATTTATGTGAAGAGGATGACAGCAGGAATCCTTTTATAGAGGATGCTGGATAGGCCTTGTTCTCCTCACAGCCTGGATTTCTACCTGCCAGAAGCCCAGTTTGTATGAAGGTGGCCCTTCAAAGTAGTTAATTTCACCTGGTTCCTTCATGCTGCAGTCCCGACTGCCCTTCACTATCACAGGGACCTGATGTAGGTGTGGCCTCCAGGCAATGTTTGCTGGCGAGGCACTGGCTCTTGCCTGGGTCTCCCAGACCCCATAGAGCTGCCGCCCCTTTCTCTGGCCACCCCCCAGGGTCTCTGCAGGCTCCCCTCCACTGCCAACTCTCTGGGCACCTGACCTCCCCCTCACACCTAACTTGGCACCCCCCAGCAGCCCTATCTATTCAGTCACTACACAACGGTACCTCAAGAGAGCTCAGACACCTTCAGTTTCCACAAATACAGAAATGAACTTGTGATCTTTGTCTTTAAACCTGATCCTCCACTTATGTTTCCTGAACGGTATCTGGGAGTTGACCCTCTCGCAGGCATCCCCCTTTATCCAGTCCATTGCAGAGGCTCTCCTATCTCTAGCCTGCCCATTCTCTTCCTATTCCTTGACACTATTTTACTCCTGGATTCCTTTAAAATAGCCCCTCCTCACCTACTTCTTATCAGTCATACCACAGCCAGCGGATTGTCGTATACACACAAACCTGATTGTGTCACTCCCTGGCTTCCCAGCTCTCCCAAAGAGCACCCGCCTCCTAGGCCCCACTCTGGCCTCACCCCCCGCCACTCCCCTCTCACATTGAACTTCTCCTGGGAACTTCTCCCACCCTCCCTGCCTAGGCCATTTCCACTCATTCTCCTCAACTTACAAGTCCCCTTTCAGGGAACTCCTTCCCAGGTTTCACAGACCAAGCTGCCTCTGTCACTTTTCCCTGTTTCCCATTTGTTTCCCCTCAACCCATGTGGGCTCTGGGTTGGCGAGTGTGCATCTCCAGAAGGGAGACATGGAGAAAGCGAGAGAGGAGCAAGGGATAACGGCCCGGAGGGAGTGTGCCAAGAACATGTATTCTTTAAAAGTGTTCTAATTTCTTCCAAATGCATTAACTGGCTCTCATTTAAAAATAAATGACTAAATTTATATTAAATTCAACAGATATTTAACATATATTATCTTTTCAGGCATCTTTCTCAAGAACTTAATTAGATCTAATTACTAATTAATTAAGGATTGTAAGAAATATTTTCATTAGGTAGAATACTAAATAATATTCTCATTAAAGCTGTATATGCTGCTGGTATAAGTTTTGCATTTTAAAGCTTTTTAAGAATCTACTTTCATATACTGCTTAAGGGAACATAAAATGGTACAACTATTTAGGGAAAACTATTTGGCAGTTTATTTTAAAGTTCAACACATGGTTTTCATGTGACCCAAACATTTTTTGTAAAATTAGGTATTTTTACTCAAAAGAAATGAAAATGTATGTCATCTTCAGAAATGCACATACAGTAATGTTTATAGCACCTTAATTCATAATAGTCCCAAATTATAATACATCCAAAAGTCAACAGGAAAATAAATTACCATATGTTCACTTAATAGAATATTAAACAATAAAAAGGAATGAACTATAGGTACATTCAATAACATGAATGAATTTTTAAAAATAGCATGTTGAGAAAAAGAAGCCAGACACAAAAAGCATATACATACATACATGTATATATGAAGTTCAAGGAAAATGAATCTATGACGACAGAAATCAGAACAGGACCAATCTTGACTGCAAAGGGACCAATAAGAATTTTCTGGGTGAGAAGAATATTCTGTATCATGATTAGAGTGCTGGTAACACAAGTGAACTTAGGTAAAGTCATTGAGCATTTTATCAACCTATTCCTCAATAAAGTTTGGAAAAAATTCACAGGAATGACAAAAGCAACATACTCAGGTATGCGAGCAGAAGCCTCTGACACAGCTTGTCTTTGGGGCTTAACTAAATGATCTATTTTAACGAGGGAATCTGAGGAAAGGCATGCGTTTTCAGGCTCATTTTCTGCTTCGATGCTCTGTACAGAAAAAACACAGGATAAGGGAGAATAAATAAAAACTAAGAAAATATATGGACATTTACTTATTTGAATTTTACCATTTCCTTTGAAAATATTAAAAGGAGATTTAAGAATTTTAAATCTCCTAAATTGCAAGCTCTCTACTCTGTACTACCTGGTTCCTCTCTCTCTCTCTCTCTCTCTCTCTTTTTTTTTTTTTCTTTTTTTTGAGGAGGAGACTTGCTCTGTTGCCCAGGCTGGAGTGCAGTGGTATGATCTTGGCTCACTGCAACCTCTGCCTCCCGGGTTCAAGCAATTCTCCTGCCTCAGCCTCTTGAGTAGATGGGACTGCAGGCACACGACACCACGCCCAGCTAATCTTTGTATATTTAGTACAGACAGGGTTTCACCATGTTGGCCAGGATGGTCTCGATCTCTTGACCTTGTGATCCACCTGCCTTGGCCTCCCAAAGTGCTGGGATTACAGGCGTGAGCCATTGTGCCTGGCTGGTTCCCCTCTCTCAAGTACCCACACGCACCCTTGATGCGCATGTGCACACACACAAAGTTTCTTATGTAATTAAGTCAAACATGGGCTTCATGGGCTGTATGAACAATACAGCCAAACCCAGACCTCAAACACGCCAATTAACAAAGACAAACAAGAAAATTAAGGTCATGGGGCTGTATTCTGCATTTTCAGACCAATTTTTCTTGTCAATTTCCCTTTCTGTTTTTAAAATACAGACAATAATTTACTTAAATTCAGTGTACTACTCACTTGTCCAGAGAGTTGGAATCTCAACGTGTGTTTCATGTGAGGCTCCTTAAGAGGGTGGCATTCAACATCCCAAAACTGGGCATAATCCCCTCTACCTCTGGGCAAAAATGTGATGGAGACCTACAAAATACATACAGAGAGAAATTTAGACAACTGATCATTAAATGCAGTGGTAGCTAGATTACCAGTTCAAAGATTTGGTATGAACAAAGTTAAAGAACAAATGCTTTTGCACTGGCTAGTTTTCCCACTAACTGAAAGAATTTGGACAATTTCATTTGTAGTGAGTTTGCTACTATACCAGATCTAAAACACATTTTTGCTTAAGGCTTTATATAACATATTCTTTAAAATGTATAATAAATGCTCTACTGTGGGGGGAAATGTTAACAGAAAGCACTAAAGCTGTCAAGCACAAGACCTACACAAGAAAGGTCCAACCACAGACCCACAATCATCTTCCCTTGAGTGCTTATGGAACCCTCTGCCGGCTAAGCAGCACCAGGACAAAGGCCTCGCAGCAGCCGGGAGCTGCAGAAGACTGACAACAGTGGGAGGATGGTGGCTACAGGAGGCAGAACAAGACAAGCATCAGACGCTCCACAGTGGCAGCTCACGCATTATGATTAGATTCCAAATGTCAGTCACAGCCAGTGACCCTGGCCACACGGCTCAGTTATAAACATACCCTGCATGTGTATAACCTATAAAAACCTCAATTATGAGAAAACTGTAATGTTTAAAAACAGTTTAACATTTACCAATATTAAGAGCCTTAGCTCTATTAAAGAATTTAGTGTTGATAATACTGATCACTAATTAGGTTAACAATGAATCAGGACTTCTGAGTTGACTCAAACATTAAAACACCTAAGTGGCCTAATTTCTGCCCAAACAGAACCTTAAACATCATAACCCAGCAAGCCTGAGCTCATGGCCTTTGGGAGCCTAAGGACAAAGGCAGGACTGGTCAGGGATAGTGATAGTAGAGCATCTAACTAGAGAATTACACCACTATGGACTTGGACTCTGAGAAGATGAAGAAAGGAAAGGGTAAAAACCAACGGAAGGGGTAAAAACCACCAGAAAGAGTAAAAACCACCATTGGGGACTACAGAACTATGAATCCTAACTACACCCCTTCAAATACCAAAATCACAACAGAACAGAGAAGGAGAAAACTATTATTACTGCGTGTTACACCCTAGGTACATACTGGGAACTTTAATAACATTCAGTATCTCAGCTAATCCCCTGGCCTGGCAAGCATGCTCTATTTTCTCTCTATAGATTTGCCTATCCCAGACATTTCACATAAATAAAACCACACACCTGTGAGCTTCTGCGACTGGCTTCTTTCACTTAGCATAATGTTTTCAAGGTTTATCCATCTGGATATAGCATGTTTCAGTAACTCCATTCCTTTTTACTGTCAAATAATATTTCATTTTATGGATATACCAGATTTTGTTTATTGATCCATCAATTTGGGTGATTCTCACTTTTTGTCTTCTGTAACACTGCTGTGAACACCTGTGCACAAGTTTTTGTTTGAAAACCTGCTTCAACTTTTCTAGTGTACATCCAGAGATGGAACTGCTGGGTCATACAGTAATTCTGTTTGGCTTATTGAGAAACTGCCACATTGTTTTCCACAGCAGCTTTACCATTTCATATTCCCACCAGTAATGCATGAGGGTTCCAATTTCCCCACATCCTCACAAGTACTTGATATTTTTGTTGTTTTTGTTTAACTCACAGCCATCTTTAGTGGGTGTTAAGTGATACTTCACTTCTCAATTTGACTGCATTTTGCTAATGACTAGGAATTCTAAGCATCTTCTCATATGTTTATTGACCACTTGTATGTTTTCTTTGGAAAATATCTATTCAAATCTTCTGCTCATTAAAAAAATTGGATCATCTTTCTTTTTACTGGGTTGTAAGAGTTCTTTACAAATTCTGGATACAAGTCCTTTGTCAAACATATCATTTGCAAATTGTTGTCCCTATTCTGTGGTGTTTGATGCACAAATGTTTTTGATTTTCATAATTCACCTATTTTCTCTTTTGTGGCTTGTGCTTTACTGGTGTCACACCTAAGAAACCAATGCTTAACCTAAGGTTATGAAGATTTATTCCTATGTTGTCTTTTAGAGTTTTTATAGCTTTAGGTCTAATGTTTATGGTCTATGGTCGATGGTTGATTTTCAGTGAAATCTCTGTATATGGTACTAGGTAAGAGTGATGGTTAATATTAGGTGTCAACTCGATTGAAGGAGGCCTAGATGGTTGCTAAAACATTGTTTCTGGGTGTCTGTGAGGGTGCTGCCAGAGGAGACTGACATTTGAGTCTGCGAAGTAGAAGGAAGGTCCACCCTAATGTGGGTGAGCACCATCCAATCAGCTGCCAGCAGGCTAGGAGGCAGGTGGAAGAAAGCAGGATAATCTTGCTTGCTGAGTCTCTTGGCTTTCATTTTTATCTGGTGCTGGATGCTTCCTTCCGTTCCTCCTGTCCTTGGAAATCAGACTCCAGGTTCTTCAGCCTTTGGACTCTGGGATTTACACAAGTGTTTGGCCAGGGGCTCTTGGGCCTTTGGTCACAGACTGAAGGCTGCATTGCTAAGCTTCCCTCTTTTGAGGCTTTTAGACTCAGACTGAGCTGCTACTGGCTTCATTCTTCCCCAGCTTGCAGATGGCCTATCATGGGACTTCGCCTTGTGATTGTGTGAGTCAATTCTCCCTAATAACTTCCCTTTCATATATATGTATATCCCATTAGATCTGTTCCTCTGGAGAAACCTAATACAGCAGGGGTCTACCCTAGTTCTTTTGCATGTGGCTATTCAGTTCTCCCAGGCACTATTTGTTGAAAAATATTCTTTCCCCATTGAAGTGCCTTGGTGCCCTTATTAAAAAAAAAAAAAAAATCCATTAACTATAAATATTAGGGTTTATTTTGGGATTCTCAATTCTATTCCACAGTTCTACAGAACTGTCAATACCACGCAGTTTTGTGTAGTGTGGCTTTGTAGAAGGCTTTGAAAACAGGAAGTGTAAATCCTCCAACTTTGTTCTATTTCAAGATTGATTATTTTAGGTCTCTTGTATATCTACATAAATTTCGGAATCAGCCTTTTAATTTTAAAACAAAAACCAGCTGGATTTACTTTTAGTTTTTCTATGTTTTATTTAACTAAATTTAGATTCTAATTACAACTGTGCACTAAATCTTTGAACAAAGAATAAAATGTGCTTAGATTTTGTTGTAATTTTTTTGCGGGGCAAGGGACAAAGTTATTCAATGGTATAAGGTGTATAAATTCTCAGGACAACCCATAAAGACCACTTAGGAAAACATATTTGAGGGATTCATGAAAGAGAGATTATAAGGATTATAAGTCTTTGCTATTTAAGTCATTCTTTTTTAACACATTTATCTTTATTTTTATTTATTTATTTATTTATTTATTGGCATGGAGTCTCACTTTGTCACCAGGCTGGAGTGCAGTGGCACGATCTTGGCTGACTGCAACCTCTGCCTCCTGGGTTCAGGTGATTCTCCTGCCTCAGCTTCCCAAGTAGCTGGGACAATAGGCACGTGCCACCACACCCAGCTCATTTTTATAATTTTAGTAGAGATGGGGTTTCACCATCTTGGACAGGCTGGTCTTGATCTCTTGACCTTGTGATCCACCCTCCTCGGACTCCTGAAGTGCTGGGATTACAGGTGTGAGCCACCGTGCCCAGTCTTATCTTTAATTCTTTTAAAAATGTTTTGAATTTTTGATTAATCTCATTCTGCTAGATTCTCACTTCACTAATGCTTTTTGTGCAAAATTGGCTTTTTCCTGCTTTGGTCAATTTTGCCAATGGTTTGTCTGTATTATTATTTTTTCCAAAAAGCAACTTGGGATATGTTAATCTTCCCTTGTTTCTTTGTTTTTATTACATTTTGCTTTGGAACATTTTTTCTTCTTCTTTCTTTGGATTTATTCTGTTATTTTCACCAACTTCAATGACTGCTTAGCTCATTAATTTCAGTTTTTTTTTCTTTTTAAAATAGATGCATGACACCTGTATCTTTACCACTTTGGGCCTATTGTTGTTCCTGTTTTTTTTTCTTTTTCAAGTTTTATTTCAGATTCAGGGGTACACATGCAGGTTTTCTGCCTGGGTATATTGCACAATACTGAGGTTTGAGGTATGAATGATCCTGTCACCCAGGTACTGAACATGGTAGCCAATAATTAATTTGTCAGCCCTTTTTCCCCCTTCTAGTAGTCCCCAGTTTCTATTGCTGCCATTTTTATGTCTATGAGTGCCCAATATTTGGCTCTAACTTGTAAGTGAAAAAATATGGTATTTGGTTTTCTATTCCTGTGTTAATTAGCTTAGGATAATCACCTTCAGCTGTATTCACGTTGCTACAAAGGTATTTGATTTGTTTATGGTTGCACAGTATTTCATGATATATATTTACCATTCTACCATTTCTTTATCCAATCCACCTGTTGATGAGCATGGTGATCAATGGTGGATTGATCCATGTATCTGATATTGTGAATAGTGCTGCAATGAATGTGCAAGTATCTTTTTAGTAGAACAATTAGCTTTCTTTTTGGTATATATTCAATAGTGGGATTGCTGGGTTGAATGGTAGTTCCAAGTTCTTTGAGAAATCTCTAAACTGTTCTCCACAGTGGCTGAACTAATTTACATTCACACTAAGTGTATAAGCATTCCCTTTCCTCTGCAGCCTCACCAGCATCTATTGTTTTTTGACTTTTTATTTTATTTACTTTTTTGGAGACAGGGTCTTACCCTGTCATCCAAGCTGGAGTGCAGTGGCACAATCTTGGGTCACCACAACCTCTGCCTCCTGGGTTCAAGTCATCCTCCCACTTCAGCATCTCAAGTAGCTAGGACTACAGGTACATGCCACTATGCCCAGCTAATTTCTGTATTTTTTATAGAGTTTTGACATGTTGCCCAGGCTGCTGACTTTTAATAACAGTCATTCTGACTGCTGCGAGATGGTATCCCATTGCAGTTTTGATTTGCATTTCTTGATGATTAGTGATGTGGAATATTTTTTTCATGTTTCTTGGCTGTATGTCCTCTTCTGAGAAGTGTCTGTTCATGTATTTTGCTCATTTTTTAATAGGTTGATTTGTTTTTGGGTTGTTCAACTGTTTAAGTTCCTTATAGATCCTCGATATTAGACTTTTGTCAGATGTATAGTTTGTGAATGTTTTCTCCTCTTCTGTAGGTTGTCTGTTTACCCTGTTGATAGTTTCTTTTGCTGTGCAGAAGCTCTTTAGTTTAATTAGGTCTCATATGTCAATTTTTGTTTTTGTTACAAATGCTTCTGAGAACTTAGTCATAAATTATTTCCCAAGACCAGTGTCCAGAATGGTGTTTCCTAAGTTTTCTTCTAGGATTCTTATAGTTTGAAGTCTTATGTTCAAATATTTAAACCATCTTGAGTTCATTCTTGTACACAGTGAAAGGCAGGGGTCCAGTTTCATTCCTCTGCATATGGTTAGCCAGCTATTCCAGCACTATTTATTGAATAGGGACTCCTCTCCCCACTGCTTATGTTTGTCGACTTTGTTGAAGAGCAGATGGCTATAGGTGTGTGGCTTTATTTCTGGGTTCTGTATTCTGTTCCATTGGTTTATACGTCTGTTCTTGTTTTGCTACCATGCTGTTTTGGTTACTATAGCCTTACAGCATAGTTTTAAGTCAGGTAGCACGATGCCTCCAGATTTGTTCTTTTTGCTTAGGATTGCTTTTGCAATTCAGGCTGTTTTTGGGCTTCATATGAATTTTAGCATAGTTATTTCCGGTTTTCGGAAAAATGACGTTGGTAGTTTGATAGGAACAGCATTGACTACAGACTGCTTTGGGCCCAGCGGGGGTTTTGATTGGGACTGTGCTGAATATATAGATCAATTTAGGGAGTACTGCTGTCTTAAAAAGGTTACGTCTTCTGATCCACTGATACAGGATGTCTTTCTTTTTACAATCCTTTCTCATATGTGAACTTTATTTGAGCAATGTGTCTATCCCCTGTTCTACTGCTTTGCTTCTGTTGTCATTTGGGAAATGAACTAAACTACACTTGTAGAACTGTATGTCTTTCCAAAAAAAGTGAGAAACTGTCTGAAAGCCTGTTATACAGACCTGGTAAAGTGCAGTTTGCAACAACTGCTATAGCTGCTTCAAGATTCTTTTACAATCAGTTCTGAGTTCACAGCTACATTCTAAAACTTACTGTAAGTCTGAATGTCTGAATAAATGAGCCAGTAAATTTTTTTATTAACTAGAATAAAAAATATATTGCTGAGACCAAGTGGGTGACTAGTGTTATTAAGAGACATTTGAAGGGAACATGTCAGGTCTAGAAATGAAAACATTTAAGAGGGTCATAGTAGCTGGAGGGATCTATCACCCATGAAGATATACTGTTGACTATGCCATGAATACCAAGCTATTTTTGAGTAATGGCAGGTTTTTCTGGCTACAGCTGGTAGACAAAACTCTTGTCTCCATCAGTGAAGTATAACCGTAAGCACTGGCAGTCTGTGGTCTTTACTGTTAAGGGTGCCGTTCATTTAGCTGATCATTTTTTCCATAGTAAGACTATCTGCTGCAGCACATTGCAAGTGAGGCAGGCTCTTCTCTCATGTGCACACTGGCTCTGTGAGTAGCACTGCTCTAGGCTATAAGCTAAAATGGGTAGAATCAAATAAGGCACTTCTGGACGATTTACATGATGCTCTTACTAACCGCCTAAGGAAAAAATATCAAAACCTACTTTTTGTATCCCATGGCTTTCCAGTAGACCAGAAATAGGGGAACATCTGAATGCTGCATAGGTGGCTCTAAAAACATCTCCACTTTCATCAACTCCCTGCAAAACAATCATTTAAACAAATTAAAAACCATGAAGCCAATGGATCAATCCCACAGAGACACTATTACCTCTATGGCTGTTAAGAACACACCAACACACTTAGCAGGGAACAAGGAGAGTGCAAGGTATTCCCAAAACGGGAGTGCTACCTCACTGAGTTCTGCACAAGGCCATCACACTGACTTATGTCACCAAATGTGAGGTCACACAAGGTGACTTTTATCACTTTCCTAGCTATAGTGATCTTTATGGTGAAGCTCATAATGTCAAACAACAATCTTTTCCTCAAAGACTCTGTTGAATGTGCTTTTTAATAACTATGCAATGCCAGTTTTTTATTTCTACTTTTATTTTTTTAAGATAGGGTCTGGCTCTGTTGCCTAGGCTGGAGTGCAGTGGTGCAATCATGGCTCACTGCAGCCTTGACCTCCTGGGCTCAAGTGATCCTCCTACCTCAGCCTCCCAAGTAGTTTTTAATTTTTTCTGTAGGTCCAGAAACTGTTTTTTATACACATTTTGTTAGTATTATGACTCAAAACCATTGCCATCACACAAAATATATGGCAGAGAGACCACAGTGTTCTAAACACCACCAATGTCAAACCCATTGACTTTAGCTTACACCTGTAATCCCAGCACTTTGGGAGGCTGAGGCAGGAGGATCGCTTGAGGTCAGGAGTTCAAGACCAGTCTGGGCAATGAAGTGAGGCTCCATGTCTACAGAAACCAAAAAGTTAGTTGGTTGTGGTGGTGCATACCTGTGGTCCCAGCTACATGAGAGGCTGAAGCAGGAGGATCACTTGAGACTGGGAGGTTGAGGGTGCAGTGAGCAGTGTTCACACCACTGCACTCCAGCCTAGGTGACAGAGCAAGACTTTTGTCTCAGAAAACAAACAAGCAAATAACCAGCAATATCAACCAATGCTTGTAGTCAGTTTTAAAAACATCCTGAATAAAGTTTAAACATTAAAGTGATTATATCTGAGGCAGTCGTGACTGACCTTCACATAAGGCGGAGCTAAAGATGACAGATGCCATTTGACGTCTACGGTGCCATGATTCTGGAGTTCCAGACAGCTCTCTAAAAGGAACACATGTATCATAACTCAAACTCAGACAGACTGGAGAACAAGCAGATGACTGTGACAGACTTTACTACCTCAAACTGGGGTTAGAAAAACCCAATCATTAGATTCCTAAAGGAGTTCAACAGGAACCACAGTATTTTCTTTAAAAAATCAGGTATGTCAGATATTGTTTTAGGTTTTATTACAAGTACAATGCAAAGATACTGAAGGGCTCATGCTGGAGAGCAATAAGATGATTGACAGTTTTAAAGTGTTACAGACTGCTCTGTAGAAAAGACACTGCAAGGCACTCAAGTGGACAAGGAAGCCCAGGTAAGTTATAGCTGCAGCAGTTTGGCTCTGAGATGATGCACACGGTGACTGCCTCCAGCGTGGACAATGGCAAAAGGGAGAAAAAGACGTGGACATGTGTGGCCTCTACTTTGAAGACAGGCTTCAAAGGACTTGCTGATGGACTGAGTGGGAGGAGGGAGGAAGAAATCAGAAATCAGAAATAACAACCAATGGACAGATAGTGGTGCCACTTACTGACATGGGTGAACCTGGAGGAGGTGTAGGGTCTCTCTTGGGCTTATTACACCTGATGCGCCTATGAGATGCCCACATGTGAGCCAAGCAGGCACCAGGGTGTGATGCCTGGGCCCAAGCATATGAGAAGTCATGAGAGTCATAGGCCACAGGCCATCACTGAGCAGGAGAACACAGAGAAGGAAAGGCACAAGCAGGCCAGGCCGGGACCCTGCCAGTCTTCAGAAGTCAGGGAGAAGAGTCAGCAAGGGATCCGAGCAGGAGTAGGTAAAGCAGGAAAATTTGAGCACTGGGGCATGGCAGCTGCACAGAGGAGTGCTCCAAAGTGGAGGAGTGGTCAACAGTGCTGGGAGTTCAAGTCAACTGAGACGCAAAACCGACCCTGGATTTGGCACATGGAGCTCTTCAGTGACCTCCACAGTACGGGCATGAGGTAACTGCAGCCAAGGCCTAAAGAAGTGAGAGCGGGGGCTGCTAAGAGGGGGCAGCTGCAAGGAAAGGGTATGGGAGCCAAGAAAGATGCTTCTTAACCCATTGATGGTGGAGCGTACTGGGTGCTGGTGGAGGCGTATCAAAAAGGAGGGAGAAGCTGATGGCCCTGGAGAGAGAGGGGAACACAGGAAGCCCCTGAGAGGTGAAAATGGACAAACCGAGCTCCAGGCAGAGGGTTTGCCTGCGATGGAAACAGAGCCTTTCACTGGGTCTCAGGGCCTATTCTTCACGTGTGAGGCAAAGTCAATGGTTAAGAAGCGTGACAGCAAGAGCAGGGAGGGGGCAGGAGCTCTTAGAGGAAAGAAGGGCCCCCAGCCACAGGGGTCAGCGGGGGCTGCAGGACACACACGGAGCACCAGAGGCAGCAAAGCTTTGTGTGGAGGGCACCTGGAACCCCCAGCGGGGCAGAGTGGTTCCCTCCAGCATGGCTTCGCTGCTGGGGTGGAGGCAGGAGGAGCTACGCCCCTGGGGCAAGCCAGGATTGAGATCTTGCCAGGCAGGAACAGAGAGGGAGAGGAGCACACGGCAGTCACAGAAGCCTTTGAAGCAGCAACTCTAAGGACAGACTCAGGGTCCAGGAAGTGACAAGAGGAAAAGGGCATGGCAGGCTGGGCGAGATCACAAAACAGAGAGGGCCAGCAGGCTGGGGGTCTTAGGGAGGCCAAAGAACTGCTGTGAGCCCTGGGTGAGTGAGCTGAAGAGATAGGCGACAGTCAGCAAGTACCAGGCTCAGATCAGAGAACTTCAGGGTTGAATGACAAGTTCCAGGAGGGGAAGGAATCAGGAGGGCAAGACCAGGGGTAGAAAAAAAAATCAATGGAGAGGCAAGGAGTTAGAGGGCCAGGCAAGAGATGCACCCATATCCTTTCTAAGAGGTCCCACCGACAACACTGCTCATTTAGCTTGAGCCAGCAGTGAGAGAGATAGACAGGGACAAAAATAAATAATCTCAGGACTCTTGAGGAATATTAGCAATACAGAGCGCCTAACAGACAACAAACACCATTCTAACTGCTGTACATATATCACTATTTCTGAACATGAATGCTCGTCATGTCCCAATAAACCCATTCTAAGCTGAAATTATCCTAAGTGGAAAATGCATATAATCTACCTAACCTACCCAGCGCATCATAGCTTAGCTGAGCCTGCCTTAAACCTGCTGAGAACACTTACCTTAGGCTATAGTTAAGCAAATCCTCTAACACAAAGCTCATTTTATAATAAGGGGTTGAATATCTCATGTCATTTGCTGAAGACCACAGTCTCATGTCACCTACTGAGTGCACTGCAGGGCAGTATCAGCTGTTCACCCTTGTGATCACAGAGATGACTAGAAGCTGTGGCTTGGGGCTGCTGCCACCCAGAATCACAAGAGGGTGCAGCACCGTGTGTTGCTACCCAGGGCAAGGTCAAAAATCAAAGTACAATTTTCACTGAATATACATGGCTTTCACACCATCACCAGGTCAAAAAAAATGGTAAATCAAGCCACCATAAGTCATGGTCTGCCCAAACAGGAAATACTAAATTTATCCTTGAAGTCCTTCTGTGGAAGCAGTTAATTCCAAAGCTTATTTTACAAATGTGGAAACCAAGCAGGTCTACTGAACCTGTCTGGAGCCTCAATGTCATATGAGTAAGTGATGAAGCCAGGCTCTCCACCCACCGTCCTGTCTTCTTCATTTGCTAACTTATCAACAATTCTGGTCATGGATCTGGTGAGAGTTACACAGTAAAGATTCTGATCATCAAATAAAACCTAGGATTCCTGGAATACACAAACATAGTAAATGCCAAGGCTTCACATTTTAAGACTGTTCTGATCCCAAATCCAGCCCATCATTGAAATGATTGCTAATAACCACTTGATTTTTCTCCTCAAGTTGGAGGAAATTTGTATTTATCACCAACTTACGGCTGAGAATAAAGCATCAGAATCAATATATCAGCAGACACTGGAATTACATAATTTTGTGGCACAATACCTGAAGTTTTACCAGGTTCTGTTGTAGGAAAAGTAATACTCTTGTTTCTTATTTCAACTTTTGTGGAAGGTGGTTTTGTCATTGGTTTGACCAAATGACTAATTGAAGGCTCAGATACTGGAGAAAGAATTCCAAATGGTTTGGAGGTCAAACGAGTTAAAAGTTCTACTTGAGTTAAATCTTCTCGAATTTGAACTTTTACAATTTTCTGAAATGAGCCAAATAAAGAGATAAGATACAAACGTAGCTATCATTTTAAAATAAACAATTCCATTTTTAAATCATGGTAGAGAAAAGAAATGCCAAACAAATGAGACATCAATACATTTAGGAATTAAAGTTTATTTAGATCTCAAGGTAAATCTGTGACTCTATCTCCTTTCTGCCACTACCTTTTTTTTTTTTTTTTAAGCAAATTTAGAAAATTAGTAATTTCTTCTAGGCCCCACTCTCCACACCCATTTCCCAAGAGAATTGTTCTGATCACTATGGAAAAACTCTATCCCAATGCTCTAATTAAATAAACCTAGTTGCACTCAGAATACAAATAATCATGCCTCAGTATCCGTGGGGGATTAGTTCCAGGACCCCCTGAGGATGCTAAAATCCTTGATGCTCAAGTTCTGTATATAAAGTGGCACACACATAACCTACATACATTGCCCTGTACACTTTAGATCATCTCTAGGGTACTTATAATACCTAACACAGTGTAAATGCTGTGCAAATAGTTGTTATACTGTATTTATTTGTATTATATTTTCCCCAAATATTTTCAATCTGTAGTTGGTTGAATCCTTGGATGTGGAACCCACAGATATGAAGGGCCAAGTATACCTTCATTTGATTTTTGACATGTAAGCACTAATAAGGATTATGAAACTGAAGCTACAAAGTAACAGAAATGTCACTCCAAAACAAACAAACAAACAAACAAAAAACCCCAAACCACTTTTAAAAGTACCTTCTGTCCATCATCACAGTGTATATAGATCGAACCACTCCACGGGAACACTGATTGTTTTGTGGATAAGGAGGAATTAGGACTCACAAGAATTTGTAGTTTACTCCTTTAAAAAAATTTAATAAGAAAATTAAAAATAGCCTACATTTTAACAGCAGTAATCACACAAGTTATAAATACTGCTCTGCCAGCCGATGACCATTTCCTCACTGCTCAGGAAGAGCAGAGAACAGAGGTCACTCCCACATGCTCATCCCATCTCCACCAGACTCAATGGCTAACAAGAAACTCACCAGCACTCATGACGCAAGGGCAAAACTCATGTGAAAACAAACCATGCCTTAGGAATACCATGTTAAAAGCAACTCATGGTAAAAATTTTTAGAGCAAAAGACCAAGACTACAAACGCTCTGAGCCACGTGAGAATAAAGAAGAATGTAGGTGCAGCATGGAGAGAATGCAGGAGCTTCAGAGAAAACTAGAAAAAAGGGTGAGGGAGATGGAGAAGAAATGAAGAAAAATACATTTTTTTTTATGACCCAGCTGCTAATATTTTCCGGGCTTAATATTCTCTTCAAGAGCCAGGGGGTGCTAGAGAAGAGTTTAAAAGTAGAAAATGGGATAGACAATGGGATCAGATTTGTGATTTTAAAAAATCACCAGATTGAAAAGCTATTTCAGTACACAGGTCAAAAACGACAGGGTAAGATTGTCTTCCCCTGTTAAACATGGGGTTACGGAAAAAGTGATCAGTGAGGAACTTGTTCTACCATTAGCTGAAATGGTGTGTGGCACATGAGAAACAGTTGCTGCATGCCAAATTGACTGCTCTGGTCCCAGCAACATCTCTTTGGAGTGTTCCTGACGATGCCTCAGCTCAAAGTCTCTGTCAAGTAAACTCTCCTAAATTTTTAGCACATCATTTTGCAAAAAGTAAATAAACCTCATTTTGTCTTTCTGCAAAGTTGTTAATCCCAGATATAAAGGAATGTGCAGATGTGGGAGTCACGCACTGACCAGATGAAGTCCTGAAAAGCTGCAGAGCATTGGCTTTCCCACCTGTTAACAGCCAGGCTGTGGACAGAGGACAGGCAGCTGTGTAGAAACGGCTGGCCCCAAAAGACTTCCTTTTGTCCTAGAATATTCTACAGCATCAGTAAGCAAGGTTATAGTTCATACATACTAAAAGTGAGGAAGCTTTGTCTGAAAAACATCATTCAGAAAAAGCCAGCAGAACACACGACCCAAACCAAGGTAAGGAATGGCAGAGTGTTTGGGGTTAAGACACATCGTGACCCCACATCCCATGTCCAGTTGCATTCCTTGCTTTGTAATTTCATGGGCAGTCCAAGAATGAAATGCTCTGAAGTCTTCCACACCAGGGACTCTGTTCCATCTCAAATGTGTATGTCCCTTTACCCTCCTGGGTGAAAGCATAACCAGCCATGTGCAGATCTCTGCTCTACTAGACCTCCTACCACTTGAGCTTACAGCTGTCCTACAGAACCATGCATGTGCTTTGTGCAGTCGCACAGTCCAAAATTTAACTGGATAAACTACAATGACATATTATTTGATCCTTAGAAAGTGACCATCCCAGCATCTGACACAGAAGTCAGACTTACTCTGGTGCAACACATCCATGCTGTGGTGTGACTGTGAGGCAATGCGCTGGCCAGCACAGCTCAAATTTCAATAACCTCACAGAGTTATTCGCAATCTGGAAACGTCCAGTTTTTGCCATGTCACCTATTTTGTCAGATAAATAAAATGTTACTTACATTTAACAACACTGAAAAAGACAAATGTTAACAACTAATAAACCGGAACCCTAAATAAGATATGTGAGTATGCTACTGCTTTCTCAAAAGACTCAATTAAAGAAATTTCCAATCCTTGGTATCAAAGAAGAAAAAGGAAACCTGGAAATCGTCACTGCTTCATCTTAACTTGAGCACACACCTACATAGCAGATTTGCTCTACTCTGAACCAATGCTGTATCTCTGGGCAGGGGTGTGGCTCTGCCACTGGGGAAATGGGAGCCTCATTGAAGAGCATGACCCTGGGACAAGAACTCTGCTCTAGGCAAGTCTGAGTGGGGTCTCCAACAATGGAAGCAGAGCCTGGGCAAGGATCCCATGTATGTCCTGGATGAGTCGTGGGTACAAAGACAGGGCAGGCCTGGACTCCAGAACACACTTCTGAGGTGTCACAGTTGACATACTCACAAGGAGAAGGAGCTACCAGAATCAGGTGCTCGGGGAGGACAGTCCACGGCTCTTCAGAGGCCAGCTGATTCGGAGGCGGGCGAGCCGCCTGTGAGAGAAGAGGAGAACCTTGAGGACCTCTGACTGGTAAAACATCCAAAGAGATGTTGCCACCATGTTTCCGAGAAGCTCCCAAGTCGCTAAAAAAGTCATTTAAAAAATGAAAAAGTTAGACAAGAAGAAAGAGACAGAGAGAAAAGTTAAAAACGATAAAAGGGCCAGGCACGGTGGCTCACACCTATAATCCCAGCACTTTGGGAGGCTGAGGTGGGCAGATCACCAGGTCAGCAGATTGAGACCAGCCTGACCAACATGGTGAAAAAAACTCCATCTCTACTAAAAATGCAAAAAAAAAAAATTAGCCAGGTGTAGTGGTACGTGCCTGTAATCCCAGCTTCTCAGGAGGCTAAGGCAGGGGAATTGCTTGAACCACAGAGGTGGAGGTTGCAGTGAGCTGAGATGATGCCACTGCACTCCAGCCTGGGTGACAGAGAGAGACTCCATCTCAAAAAAATAATAATAAAATAAAAATGATAAAAAGCCAGATTGTAACACATATTTTTATATAATTCTTCATAAATTTAAAAACATTAAGACAAAGCTAAAAGTGCATTATATATGAGGTATTTTTCAATGAATAAAAAGTATTCATATTGTATAGAGTTTAAAATGTATATAGGCTGGGCATGGTTGCTCAGCTCTTTGGGATGTCAAGGAAAGAGGACTGCTTGAGGTGAGGAGTTCGAAAACAGCCTGGACAACACAGCAAGACATCACCTCTAGAAAAAGAAAAAAGCAAAAGTAGGTGGGAACGGTGGCAAGCACCTGTAGTCCCAGCTACCAGGAAGACTGAGGCAGGAGGATTATTTGAGGCCAAGAGTCCAACCAGGGCTACAAAGCAAAACCCTGTCTCTTAAAAATATACATAAAGTATAGGGGTGACAAGGGGTGGGTGGTGGCATGGGGACTTGTACGGAACACTCAGACAGTCTGGGTTAGCAGCATGCAATGAGAAGGTTAGTTAAAAATAGGGGGATTAAGTAAAAATGTAAATATATTGAGGATAATGAATGGGGCCAAGGTTCCCAGTACTGAAGAAAAGGGTATAAATGTGGAAAGGCACTGCAGTGTTAGATTAGAATTGGAGGCTTCAAAGTAAGCTCATTTAACATATTTATAAACAGAAGTAAATATAGAAGTGTAAGGATTTGTATATTAGTCCACATTTCCTGGCTGTGTCCACAGGTTAGAAACCTAGCGCCCACGCCCTGGTTTCTAACACCATTCTCTACTCTCAGCTTCTGAGAGAAATGGTTATTCCCGGGTGGGGCAGGGAAAGTATATGATGAGCCTCAACATCCTGCTGTGCCAATGAGTAAGAAAGTGCTCAGAATGAAGGATGGGGGACCCATCAAAAGCATCAGAAGTCAGAATGCAATGCAAGACCAAATAATGACAGTGAAGGATCAACACTGCACCCATGAGTCCACTCCAGTATCAGTGAAGAATTACATAAAAGGGCCAAAACCAAATATCTTCCTCATAGTAAAAAGCCAACTAATAAATGTAGAAAGATGGAATTAGAAATCGTCCTTTGGTAGCCATGGCGAAAATAATTCAGGCAACAAGCATTGATGGATGCTCACAAATTTAATGAGGAACAAGATAATCATGATCTTTAAGAAACTCCCTCTAAGATATTCATTAACTTTACAGTGGAGAAATCTGGCGGGACCATTTTTAACTAAGTTATAAAAAACAGTATTAGTGACAGGACAAATCAGCATTGTACACTGCCTGAAAAGATGCAACGAGAAAACAAACAGCGTCATTCCTGCCAGAAGTGTGAAACTTGAATCTGCAAACTGAAATTGAGGAATGTTTTACAAAGTAACTGGCCTGGACTCCATAAAAACATCAAGGTCATTGGTAAGAAAGGATTAGCAGCTGGCCTGCAACCTATTTTTTCCTTTTTACCAAGGAATGCTCTAGAAAAAAGAAAGGTGATTTGGTGAAGTCTCCTGGTGATCCTGCTAATGACATACCTCCTAACAAACACACTAATGTCCTTATCTATGGAATGCTTTTTTGCAAGATATATCTGCTCTTTCTAGAATTACTGGTGGTAAAGAAACCTGAAGCTTCTGCTCTTATGAGATAGTTATTTGAAACATTACCACAGAAGTTATATAATTATCAAAGTACAAAAAAAACCTTTCATGCTCAATATTACTCCCTGTTTCTGGTAAGCCATGTAGCACATGCACAATTTAGAGACCCTGTGTCAAATTTGAACAAGAGCTCAACTATGAATGCTGCAAAAAGGACCTAGAAAGTGCCACTACCAGTCCCAGACTTCTCCAGGCTTCATCTAAAATTACCAGTAAGCTTAATTCTGGATGAAGTCTTTGATTCTGTGGATCTGATACAATAATCCAACCTTCTGTATTATCTGTCAGGAAAGATAAGGAAAGGCTGAGAAACTCTATTCTGAAAGAAAGTTCTACACAAAAAAGTTCTATACAAATAGAGGATAAAGTAAAGGTGGTAAACTGTTAACAAGGGTGAGGTTTGAGTGCAGATTATATGGGAATTCTCTGCATTATTTTTAAACTTTCCTGAAAGTTCGAGATTATTTTCAACATAAATTTAAAATAAAGGTGAAATAAAAATTTTGAGACATAATAATAATAATAATAATAGTAAAGTACAGGAAAAAAGATCAGCTCTGCTATGAATCGAATCATCCTGAAATCTGGTAAAATATTTCTGCTCATTTCTTTTACCTTGTAGATTCCAAGCTAGCTTTGGAAGAAGACTGAAGGAATTCTCTGCTAGAAATGCAATCCCTGAATTCTCCAATTACTGAAAGTATAATTTTACACATGCTTCCATAAAAAAGCTGAACATCATTAGGCCGCTGGGGAAGATCATATACTGAAATAGAAAATAATGTTTGAAGTACATTCACACAAGCACACCACAAAGTAACAGATATATGCATATATTTATAATTATAGATTAGTTGCCTGGGTTAGGGGAGGTGATATTTGGATTAGTAGTACAAAGTCTGGCACAAAATTACAGGCAGGCAGTTCAGCACCAGTGGCTGACAGCTCAGGTTTGGAACCTAAATTTGAACTATCTTTGCCACTCATTCACTCTGTGACCTTTGGCAAGTTACTTAACCTCTCTGAAGTTTAATTTCAACTATAACATAGATAACGATCTATATCAGGGATTGTGAGCATTCAAGTAAGAATGCTTTCGTAGATATATATGGCAACATTTATATAAAGCTTAATGTGGGCTTTGTTCTAATCCCTTTACATATATTAATATAATTAATTTTCAGAACAATTATGTGAAATAGGTACTATTATCTCACTGCAAACAGGAGGAATTGGAAGCACAGAGGTTAAGGGTCCACGATTTTTAAGTGGCAGTCTCACAGGTATTCAATTTAAAGTAAATCTAGAAATAGTGCTCAAGATGAACATCTCTAGATTAGGCCACCCAAATATGTATTTATAAGAAATGTTATAAAATACACTTGGCATTTTATATATAAATTAGATAGTCTTTAAGTATTGATATTTTGACATGGTAATTTTAAAATAACACAGTAACCATAAATTTATAACTTAACCAAGTCTCATGACTGAAAAAGTTTAAATCGACTACAAAAACATGTGCCACAAATTATACATTTTATAAAAGCAAGATTGTTACAAATCCTTGGAATAGTAACATGCTCAAGCAAGTGTTACTGAAATTCATCCCATAAAAGCTTCAACTGCAGTGTTTTCACAGGTGATCTATGGTACTAACCAATGCAAAAAAGCGAAACTGTTTCCTCCATTCATCTGGACAATAAACCCACAATCACAAGGAATACAGTATTCCTTGAGGCGAAATTCTGGTGTCCCAAAGACTTGGCCTAAGTCCCAACTCAACCCCATCTTAGATGGGTGATTTTGACAGGCTACTTGAGCTCTTGGTTGGCTGCGTCAACACAACTCTTAGTACAACATGTGTACTTATTTTGGACATGCAGCTCTACCTGGAGCACTCTTCCTCACTGTGGTCCCATCTTTTCCACCTCACCAACTCCTCCTCTTTCTTCAAGTAAACCTCAAGAATCATCTCTAAGTAAGGTACCCTCCCAGATTCCTAAACACAGCTCTCTCTATCACAGCACTTTTCATATCGCACCTGAGTCATCTGTCTTCCCCTGAGTCTGTAAGCCCCTCATGGACAAGAACTGCATCTGGTACCTCTACATCCACTGTCCACAAACCGACTGGCAACTTGTCCTCTCAGGATGCATCCACCGTTCAGTGAGAGGACTGTTGCCGTATGATGGAACTATGCCAGCTTCTCAACCATTGTTCCCTACTTAAATTACAGTCTTCATAGCTTATCTTGTATTTTGATCCTTCCTATGAGGAAGAGGTGGTTCTGCAGTGGGACAGATGGGTCTTGGGTTTCAACTCCAAATCCAAAGTTCCTTTCCTTTGCTCTATTCCTTTAGCACACTCCTGAGAAATCCATTCCACGTCTTTTTGTCATTTTTAATCACCTCATCCCTGCCTTCCCTTTGAGGAGATGATCTAAATACCCACCTTACTGAAAAGTTCACAGACTACGCAACATTATCCCTACCAAGGCATATATATCTTTCCATCACTTCGTATTTCAGAAGCAAAACATAGTCCATCATTAAAAAACTAGAAAATAAAAGTAGGAAAAAGCTACCACCTGAAATTTACCAAGAAAACTAGCCACTTATTATTTTGGTGTATATATGCATGTGATTTTACTCATGTAAATATATAATGTAATAATTTTTACCAAAATGAGATCTTATTTTGCAAACTTCAAAAAGTTTTTGTAATAAATGAAGAGCTTTTTATGTCATTCAGTACAGATTCATATCATTGTTCTAATGGCTTCAAAATATTCTACTGCATAATTAAATGACTCCCGAGTCTTGGGCATTAAGGTTACTTCTAACTTCTTGCTATTATAAACAATACTATAGTGAAAATCTGTATATATATTTTACAGTTGGTTATGTCTCAATATATTTATATTTTGATGAATAATAAATATTGTTAAATATTTGAAATGTTTAGTGTAAACAGGGCTAACCATCTAGGTTAGTATCACCTCATTGCTGTCTATTTTGATTTTTTTTTTGCCACCACTACATCTTCCATTAATCTTCCAAAAGGCCCTATAGCACAGTAACCTCAAAATGAGTGGGGGTTTGCAATCAAATCTAAGTAGCAATTAATTTGATTTAATAATGACTATTTTCCTCTTCCTGTTTATAAGCCTGCCTAGAGAATAAGTGCAGAAAGTATTAGTAACATGTAACATTTATACAGCAGCAAAGCTCTTTCATCAAATCCTTATAATAACTCCGTATGGATGAAAAGCTTGGGGTCCAAAGTGGCTCCCGCAGGAGGTCATGGCGCTCGCAAAGGCGAGGTCATCAGTTCAAGGCTAACCTGAGCAACCTCATAAGCTCAAACTGATTGGCAAAAAAAAAAAAAAAAAAAAAAAAAAATAAAAGCTAGATGTTGCCTTTCTTCCCATGTACAAGATAAAAAAACTGACATTCTATGATGTAATTTGTTCAAACTCATATAGCAGAGCTATGGCTCAAACTCTGCCTAACACTGTATCTAAACTTACACTTCCTTCTTGTATCACATCACTGGACCTAGACAATACTATAAATGACCCAAAAGGTTTAATACATCAAGACATGTTGAAATTCTTACCTTCAGTTATTAATAGCTCATCTTGAAATGCTTCAGCAAAATTAATGTTTTGAAGCACATTGTGTTCTGGAAGTATCTGTTTTATAATCTCTGGCTTATGTAACAGGGCCCTGCCATGAGAGATTTTTTTTTTTATTCAAAAGTGACATTATATATAAAATGACTTTAATTGAATTTTCACTAATGCATTTGGCAAATCCCACTTATATTGATACATTAGTACATAGCTTATACTTTAAAGAAAATCTGTTTTGGAAGTTTCCTCAAAAATTACACTTGGTAGTTAAATTATCAGTTTCAGTTAAATATTAACATCAAATAAGAACTCCCTAAAAGAACAGTAGCAAGAAGAGTTAAATTAGATTATTTTCAGGTCTTACATTTTCATTGTTTGTGATAATTTAGTCATAGCTAGTAATTTGTCTCAGAACACAAAAGAACTTGGTAAAAATGGAAAGATTTGAAGGGGAATATTTAAATTATCATATAACTACATTTATCTGATTCCTTCCAGAAAATCTTTGAGATGAGAAAATTGAAATTTAAATTTCTTTATAATACTCAGATGTCCACAAAGAAAATGTCATTACTATAAACTTTACGGCAAAGAGGAGTCTGAAAACAATACGCTGATTTCTATATCCCAATGGAGAGAAAGAAAAACATCAGAATACCTCATAATGTGATTTCTCCAAATGTCAGTTTCTATTTCCAAAATAATTAAGACACAAAACTAGGTTCAAAGGCAAGCTTTTCATTTGGTCTGTTCTAACATTATGTAGCAAGTCACCATTAAATTCCTTCTTGTAAACAGTCCAATGACCCTCAACAAATTAAAAACAAAACAATTTCCCAAATTCTGTATCAGAATAAAACACAGCCAAGCATAAAGGGTCAGAAGGAGACAGGCGTATTCCTTCACATCCTCTTTCTAATAATTTTTTATTAGCAGATGACGCACCATGAGCCGCACTCATCCTATGTTTAGGTCCTCTAAACTAGGAAGCTACACTTTACAATATGATAATTCATGTTTAAATCAGTCCTAAACCTTAATCAATACCCTAAATTTTCCAACAGCCCAGTATATCAAACTATGTTTAATTAATTAATTTATTTATGAGCGAGGTCTGGCTCTGTTGCATTTGTTTATTTGCTTGCTTGTTTATTTATTTGAGAGGTCTGGGCTCTGTCGCCCAGGTTGGAGTGCAGTGGTGCAATCATAGCTCACTGCAACCTTGAGCTTCTGGGACTGTGATCTTCCTATCTCAGCCTACAAAGTAGCAAAGGACTACTTTGTGGTGCACACCACCACACCCAACTAAATTTTCTATTTCTTTTGTAGAGACAGGGTCTCATTATTTTGCCCAGGCTGGTCTTGAACTCCTGGCCTCTAGCAAACCTTCCACCTCAGCCTCCCAAAGTGCTGGTCATAGGCCAGTTAGCCCGCCCTATATTTAAATTAGATACATCAGATTGTATAGTTCACACTTTTTAAGTAGCTACAAGTTAAACATCTTACACATTTCAAAAATTCAACTTGATCCTTTCAAATAATTCACAGCATTCCCAGAAATATTATAAACTAGTCCCCTGTGTTTATACCATATAATCATTCACTAGTTCTTAAATCTTTTATAAAACTGACACACTGTCTCTGGACATATCATCAAGAGTACATTATGAAAACAGTCCTATTATGAAGTATGATGCACCTACTGAGTAAGGGAAGAGTGGCACAATAGGTACGTCCGGAAAAGAAGGGACATTCGAAGAAAATATAGGAGATGAGTTTCCTACAGGTATTTTTTCCTCACATTGTGGCAGCTCATTAGCCACATGAATTCTATCAAGATCTTTCATCTTGATAGAATCTACCAGTTCACTAATAAATAGTGGTATGTTCTAAAAATTCCAAATTCCTAGCCACTGAAGCTTTCATCATTTCTACTGAATGGTTCCTAACATTGTGTAAGATAAGTAATTTACCTTCGATATTGCTGTCTTGAAATTTCATCTCCACCAAATAAGTATACAGTTGATAGTTCTGTTGCAGTTTTATTATTGATTTCTCTGTCTGATGGATTATATATTAAAGTAACATCCTGAGGCCAAGAAAAAAATACAGGAGTAAATATTAGATATCTTTCTTAAGTCATTTCACTCTGATTCAACAATCTTACGAGCCTAAAAATTCGATATAGACACAAGTGCATATGCATGGCATTTCCAAGAACATATAAGTACTTCCACTTGTACATTATTTTCAAATATTATTTTAGCTTTTGGCCTTAAAATACATAATTATTAACTTAATTTTAAAATAAGTTGATGTTTTTAGCACAGAAATTTTTATACTTACTTCTTGTGTTCTTTCCTTGAGTACAAATTTATCTGGAAAAATCCTCAATATTTTAGGATCCAGGAAAACTTTTTTCTGAGAATCCTTAAAACCTACTGCTTTAACAAAAGCTGCTCGGGAGCCAGTGTTGCGGACAGAAAAAACGATTTTACTTTCTTTGCCAGGTACTAAGCCATTCACTGTTACCATGTAACTGTCAGATAATTTTTTAACGCCTTCCAAAATAAGATTACTTGTTCCTCCATATCCAGACAAAGGTATCTAAAAGAATATACACATCCAAAATTATTTAATGTAAGCAGAAAGAAGAACACTGAATTACAGTCAGAAAATTCAGAAAGATTTAATACAGTTAAAAATTCTAATGTTTGTATACTTTGGGTAATAGTTACCCATTTCCAGTCCAGCAGTATGTGAAAGACTTTATCTGAAGGAAAAAAACAAACCAAAGAGCTGCAAAAGTATTTGATTTCTGATATGCTAAGAATAAACTATTTCAAAAGCCAAACTTAAATGACAGAGGAATAATACAAAGATTAGTACAGACATGTATGCTTAAGAAGTTTATATACTAATATACTAATACTTGCAATTTACTTTGAAATGCATTAAAAAGATGAACTGGTGGCTGGCAAGATGACCAAATACAAACAGCTCTGGTCTGTAGCTCCCAAGAAGATCAATGCAGAAGGCAGATGATTTCTGCATTTCCAAGTGAGGTACCAGCTCATCTCACTGGGACTAGTTAGACAGTGGCTACCAGCCCACGGAGGGTGACCTGAAGCAGAGTGAGCCGTCGCCTTACCTGGGAAGTACAAGGGGTCAGGGAACTCCCTCCTCTAGCCAAGGGATACCGTGAGGGACTGTGCTGTGAGAAACAGTGCACTCTGGCTCAGATACTATGCTTTTCCCATGATCTTCACAACACGTACACCAGGAGAGTCCCTCTGGTGTCTGTGCCACCAGGGTCCTGGGTTTCAAGCACAAAACTGGGCAGCCATTTGGGCTGGCTCCCTGGATTCCAGTGGTGCCTGGAACGCGAGCGCAACAGAACCATTCACTCCCCTGGAAAGGGAGATGAAGCCAGGGAGTCAAAGTCAAGATCAGTGGATCCCACCCCCACGGAGCCCAGCAAACTAAGACCCCCTGGCTTGAAATTCTCGTTGCCAGCACAGCAGTCTGAAGTCGTCCTGGGATGCTCGAGCTTGGTGAGGGAAGGGCGTCTGCCATTGCTGAGGCTTGAGTAGGCGGTTTTCCCCTCACAGTGTAAGCAAAGCTGCTGGGAAGTTTGAACTGGAGGGAGCCTACCGCAGCATGGCAAAGCCTCTGTAGCCAGACTGCCTCTCTAGGTTCCTCCTCTCTGGGCAGGGCATCTCTGAAAAAAGATAGCAGCCCCAGTCAGGGGCTTATAGATAAAACTTCCATCTCCCTGGGACAGAGGAACTGGGAGATACGAACAGACACTTCTCAAAAGAAGACATTTATGTGGCCAACAAACATATGAAAAAAAGCTCTTCATCACTGGTCATCAGAGAAATCAAAACCACAATGCGGTATCATCTCACGCCAGTTAGAATGGCGATCATTAAAAAGTCAGGAAACAACAGATGCTGAAGAGGACGTGGAGAAATAGGAACACTTTTACACTGTTGGTGGGAGTGTAAATTAGTTCGACCATTTGGAAAACAGTGTGGCGATCTAGAACCAGAAATACCATTTGACCCAGCAATCCCATTACTGGGTATATATGCAAAAGATTATAAATAATTCTACTATAAAGGCACATGCATACATGTTTATTGCAGCACTATTCACAGTAGCAAAGACTTGGAACCAGTGCAAATGCCCCATCAATGATAGAATGGATAAAGAAAATGTGGCACATATACACCATGGACTACTATGCAGCCATAAAAAGGGATGGGGTTCATGTCCTTTGCAGGGACATGGATGAAGCTGGAAATATCATCCTCAGCAAACTAACACAGGAACAGAAAACCAAAGACCGTATGTTCTCACTCGTAAGTGGAAGGTGAACAATGAGAACACATGGACACAGGGAGAACACTGATGATGGGTTGATGGGTGCAGCAAACCACCATGGCATGTGTATACCTATGTAACAAATCTACACATGTATCCCAGAACTTAAAGTATAATTTTAAAAATTTTTCAAAAAAAAAAGATTAACTGATGGATGGCTAGATATGTGGGAGACAAAATATAGCAAAATGTTAACTATAGAATCTAAGTGATAGTGTATATGAGTGTTTAGTGTATAAGCCTTTCAATTTCTCAATAATTCTGAAACTTTTCATAATAAAATATTTTTGGGGAAAACTCTATTTATAATTTTCTTAGTGTGCGGTCCAGCCAGTGTCAGAGTGAAGCATGCAAAAGGGACTAAGCTAAAGACAAGAACTCTTAACAACTTTTGAAGGACAGACGCACTGTCAACTGGGGAAGCAGCACACTAGAATCAGGCTTGGAAATCCATCCGCTGCTGCTTCCACAGGGCTCACCCCTTGCAGGAAGCAAGGTTTCACAGAATACACCTCATAAAAACAAATGTAAGGAAAACACCCTGCTGGAAACTTTCCATACTCTTTGAAATGCACACATCTTTAACAACTATCTTTCATTCTGAATTACAGGTTGAGTATCTCTTATTCGAAGTGCTTGGGACCAGAAGTGTTCCAGATTTGGGAAAATTTACGTTACACTGGTTGAACATCCCTAATTCAAAAATCCAAAATGCTCCAAAAAGCATTTCCTTCGAGCATCATGTTGGCATTCAAAACGTTTCTGATTTTGGAGCATTGTGATTTAGAATTTTCAGATTAGGGATACTCTATCTGTACTAAAATAGGTTGCAAAGAATCCCTTGCAAACTTGAAGCCATCATAACTTATTCTGAGTTGTGTTATGTACTCAATCAAAATAACATTTTGAAAAAGTAATTTCAGATACCTCATCAATGTGCACTGTCTTGACTTTTAGTAGAAATAAATGGCATTTCAGGTTCAGCACAGTGGCTCATGCCTGTAATTCCAACACAGGGAGGCCGAAAGGGGCGGATCATGTGAGGTCAGGAGTTCAAGACAAGCTTAGCCAACATGGTGAAATCCCGTCTCTACTAAAAATGCAAAAATTATCCGGGCATGGTGATGGGTGCCTGTAATCCTAGCTACTTGAGAGGCTGAGGCAGGAGAATTGCTTGAATCCGGGAGGTGGAGGTTGCAGTGTACTGAAATCATGCCACTGAACTCCGGGCTGGGCAACAGAATGAGACCATGTCTCAAAATAAATAAATAAAAAGCATTTCGAAGGGTTTCAGATTGGAAGCTCCTACAAATCCTCCCTCACTCAAAGTGACCTCTGGTAGTTTCAACGGCAAAAATGTTTCTAATTTTTCCTTTTCCATAGAAACTTACAAGTAAATTTTATCTATAAAACCAAATAGCAAGTAACAGGTGAAAAGGTACCTTTGAAAACACTCATTGTAAGTATTTTGCCTGTGTTTTTAAAGCCTAAGAAATCACAAAATTACTACTGACTAACAAGATTAAGAAAAAAAAAATGATTGGCTGGCCTTGTGACTCATGCCTGTAATCCCAGCATTTTGGGAAGCTGAGGTGGGTGATCATGAGGTCAACATATGGAGACCATCCTGGCCAACATGGTGAAATCCTGTCTCTACTAAAAATAGGAAAACTAGCTGGGCATGATGGCGTGTGCTTGTAGTCCCAGCTACTCGGAAGGCTGAGGCAGGATAACTGCTTCAACCTGGGAGGCGGAGGTTGCAGTGAGCTGAGGTTGCACCACTGCACTCCACCCTGGCAATGGAGCAAGACTCTGTCTCAAAAAAGAAAAAAGTAAAGAAAAAAACAATGATTAAATGAAATAAATCTGACTCATACCAGTAAATCCTGATTAAACAAGAGAAATTATTGTTCCTAACCTCAGTACTATTGAAATGTTGAGCTGTATCATTATTTGTGGTTGGAACTGTCCTGGGCTTTCTCGGATATTCACCTCTATCCACTTGGTGCCAGTAGCATTCTTGTCCTGTCCCCAGTTATGACAAACCAAAAATAACTCCAGATTCTGCCAATGTCCCTTGGCAGTAACACAAGCTCTGGTTGAGAACCACTGCTCCAATACATAAAGCTGTTATTAGTACCCTAGAGACTACACAATAAACAAACATGGGCTCCGCATTCAGCCAGCCTGAATTTGAACCTTGTCTCTATCACTGACCAGCAAGTAAGATGCACGATCACAGCCACACATCTCTTGCAGCCTCAGTTTATACATGTGAAGAATGGCAAGAGTAGTATTATCCTAGACAGTTGTTTTCAAGATAAAAATGTGACAATCCACCATCTTAGTCTATTTGTGTTGCTACAACAGAATACAATAGATTGGGTAATTTATAAAGAACAGAAATCCATTTTTTACAGTTCTGGGCTGGAAGTCCAAGCTCAGGTGCCAGTTTCTGGTGAGGGCTGCTCTGTTTCTAAGATCTCACCTTGAATCATGCATGTTCCAGAGAGGAGAAATGCTGTGTCCTTGCATGGCAGAAGGTACAAGGGCAAAAAGGCCAAACTCCTTTCCTCAAACCTTTTCATAACAGCATTAATCCATTCCCGAGGGCAACACCTCCCAAAGGATCCATCTCCCTACACTGTTGTATTGCAGAGTAAGTTTCTAATACAGAAATCTGGGAAACACATTCAATCACAGCATCCACATAGTGATTGAGGGTAGTGCCCGCAATACAATCAACATGCAACAAATAATCAATACATTTTTATTGCAGTCCCATCATGCTTTATGGTATTCGAGACACAGATCATTTCATTTGTTCCTCACAACCAAATTAGCAAGTTGGGACAGCAAGTAGCTGCTGACGAGATGAGAGAGGAAATGCCTAATCCAAGGTGAGTGTAAGTAACAGAGACAGGCTGGCTCCCTGGGTACTCCTGTCCACTGCAGCTCATGGGGCCAGTCAAGTGACTCCACAGGAAACAGAGGTCAAGCTCCAGTGCCAAATAAAGCTGTAATACATATCTAACTTTAAAAACTTTTAGATATTGTTAATCTTGTAATTTATCACATTCCCTCTTTAACAATAGGATATAGAACCAAAATTTGAGCCCTAACCCCACTGCCAAACACTTGGACACATCCATGTAGCTGGAGTTTCCGCCAACTGCCTTGCATTGCTTCCTTTCCTCTACAACTTACCACTTTCATCTCTAATTGCTCTGAATGTGTCTACACAAATGGCTTTAAATCCTTTTTACCTATTATGCTGACAATGAAAAAGCATAAAAACTCTCATCTTTGTATCTCCAGCATCTGGAACAGGGGCTAGGAAATTTAGTCAATGGATATTTGGTATGGTCTAAATGGTGATGTCGCCCCCCAAATTCACATGTTGAAACCTAGTCCCCAATGTGACAGTACTAAGAGGTGTGGCCTCTGGGGAAGTGATTAAGCCATGAGGGCTCCAGCCCAGTGAATGGGCTTAATACCCTTATAAAAGAGAATGGAGACTTAATACACTTCCCACCATGTGTGGGCACAAAAAGGCAGAGGGCAACCATCACCAGACACCACATCTGCTGGCACCCTGATCTTGGGCTTCCCAACTTCCAGAACTGTGAGCAGTAAATTTCTGTTGTTTATTATAAATTACCTAGTGGTATTTAGTTATAGCAGACTGAAGAGACTAAGACAGTATTTTTGTTGAATTGAAAAAATAAAACTTAATGGGAAAGTTAGTATCTTAAACAGCTCCACCTGGATTTACTCAAAGATATGTTCCTAAAAAGCTAGGTACATTTCAAAATTTCCAAATTAAAATGAAACTTAAAAGCATTAGAAAGACTGGTATACTGGCTGCTATTGTAACTGTCCAATTCTGCAAGGCATATAAATTACTTCCTATCTTGTAAGTCTAGATAATTACATATTTTCACTTATAAAAAGCAGAGTATATAATTTACAACATTCGACCAGTTATAACATGGCATAAACTTGAGGGGAAGAGAAAATGAATAAAATGATCTTACTGTGAACTTAACGCCTGGTTGTGATCGATTTCCAAGTTGTTTGATTTCCAGTCTAGCCAACATGCAAGATAATCGAGTAGGTGCAAATAACACAGAGATGAAAATGTCTTCCTTTGGGTGAATTCTGATCTCATAGTTACTGGTCAATTGCTGTTCTGAACCAAAAGTGTTCTGAAGCTAAAATTTAAAAGACAGTCACTTCATAAAACAAAGCAGTAGCACCAATAAAATATCATTAATACAAATTCTTAAGAGATAAATAACAGAAAAGGCTCTACATATGTAAGTGTTCCAGACCCTGATAAAACAGACAACATAATAAGAGTCCATGTACTCTACGAACCTGAAAGCAGTCCTGATCTTGTCCTTTAATAAGCAGTCGTAAATGTTGAATTGTAGATGCAGAATTATTTCTTAAAGCTAGTTTCAGAAGCCTAAAAACAATTACACATTTTAAATATGGTTTTCCTCCAGGGATATTACTATTATCATAAAAACTAAGCCAAATAAAACCAACCACAACGTCTAGAGATGGACTGACATGAGCCATCTCAGCAGCCTAGAATACTATTGTCTCTAGATTCTATATTGCTGAAAATGTAGGCTCAAGACTCACCATAGAGGCTTTTTGGTTTAATCTCCACTCTGCACCTAACCTTATTATTTATACTATGTGTATAAATATCTGTCACATAAAACATTAATCAATGAAAATCCAGGTGAAGAAATTCATCAAGTCATTAAGTCAATGCCACACCGACCTTGAATACCTAGTTCACCCAAGTGAGCTTTCAGGGAAATAAGGGGTCCTAGGCTAAGAGGCTCATCTGCACAAAGTAGTGTTTTAAACAGTATATTGAATTAACTCTACTTTTAAAGAAGCTGCAATGCACAAGAATGGACATATAATAGGAACTGACTGATAAAAACACTACATTTGTTGAAATTATATGAATCCTGTCTTCACTGGAGAACAGAATACATGAGTAAATCTCTATTTTACTTAAATTTGGGGAAGATTAGCAGCTAATAAATCAGTAGCTGAGGTCTGCGTCTCATCTACCTTGTGTTAAGAGAAAACGCAGACAACTTTGGCTATTGGCACCTCCAGGAAAAGCCTTCCACAGGTACAATGACTGGGGAAGAATTACCCAAAAGAAAGATTATTTTGTTTAGTTTTCATTTTCTTTTATTTATTTTATAAAAATAGTGAATGAGAAACATCTCTTATAAAGCTCTTGTAAAGCACTGTGGTTATCATTTTCAAGTACAGAGTTATCAGGTGGGATGGGAGAAACTAGGTTTCGTTTCCATGGAGTCATGTCATCAGTTAAACGTGTTCAGAAGTCAAGAACAAGCCAGTTACTGCTTGAGAGAAGTTTAACTGTTTCTGCCATAGGCTTCTGAGAGATGTTTCTTTCAGAGACCCTTTTAAAGATAAACCTGTACAATACAGGGAGTCTCAAAAAACAAAACAAAACCACCAAACAATTTTACAGTAAATACTACCTCCCATTTCCTAAGGTGCCCCTCTCCCTTAGGTGCTTCATTCGCTGTGGTCAGGAAGTATGACACTCAAGTCTGGTGCATCAAAAGCACTTCCATGGGTTTTGCTAAAATCATGTGGTTGCTGACTGGGAAATTTAGATCATTTAGAAGAATGGATATACTGCATATTCTTTATGCAGTTCTCCATAAACCTCTCTCTCAGCTGGCTTTTAAAAAATACGGAGTGGCAGTAAGTTTAAGCAGATACTCAGTCTTCAGCAGCAATTATATTGTTGGTCATGTGTCAGGTGCTCTTTGCAGGACTGGAATATATGCTAAAGAAAAGCTGAATCAGGACACATGCCCATCTAGGAGGCTTTTTCAGTTCTGCACAATTGAGCCTGAAGAGTATCTATTATGACAAAATTTTCCTGCAAACATTAATTTGTGGTCTGCTCCAAAATATGTATAGTGGACTGACCATGTGTCAATCTTTGACACTTACTGTGTTCTACCAAGAGGGACTCCTCCCCACGCCAGAAATTGTTTGTTGGACAAAATTGATGGAATATCTAAGCAATGTCCAAGCGGCAGAGGTTTACTTTCTGAAGAAACGACTTCACCTTTTAACACTACTTCATACTGAGGTCCAAATGGCTGCACAAATATTTTCAAGATCCTAAGAAAGAAAGAAATCTGAGTTGAAGGTCCTATTTTGATTTCTTTTTGCAACTGTTTCCTACATGTTTGCGTTGTCCACAAGAGCGAGCTAGGTGTTGAGGATATGGTGAAATTCCCACCCTTAGAGCTTGTGCTGCAGAGAATAAAGACAAGGAGAGAGACAATCTCAATGGCACCTGTACAGGGGGTGTGAGAAGCCACGGAGCTTTAGGAACGCTATTTATGAGACATTTGGGAAGAGTGGAGGAAAGCCTCCCAGAAGGAGCCAGCCCAGGGAAGTTGAGGGCAAGCATTCCAGGCACAGGCATTCACACTGCTGCAGGCAAGACTCCTCTTCTGTAAGGTCACAAGAGCAGACTAAGCACATGATAAAGTGTTCTATAACCCAGGCAGGGGGATAAGCCACATGTGTCTCAGGAGAGTATACTTTAAGCTAGAGTTACGCAAGCAAGCTCAGTACTCATGACAGTGGTGCTCTGACTCTAATTTGATATTCACTTATGATTTAGGTGCTAAGAAGTCATGGGCCTGGAGAAAAAAATGGGGAAAGGTATCTTAACAGCTGACAAGGTCAACGAACAGTTTCAGAAGAAAAAGTGAATGAGAAACATCTCTTATTATTTACTTTTGTCAGAATATACTTGAAAATAATAATTTATTCATTTCTATTCAACTGGTTTAAAAGATTTTTAGTTAAAAAAAAGAAGACAATCTGAAGCTAAATAAAAGGAAATTAAACAGAGTCATACCATCTATTAGGGAGGAAATATATGGACTTTGTCATTCAGGCTGTGGAATTTTGAAGCACATCTAAGTAAGTGGCTGTTTTGAGAGACGAGTAAAACTCTGTCATTATAACTTTTTTTTTTGAGACGGAGTCTCGTTCTGTCGCCCAGGCTGGAGTGCAGTGGCATAATCTCAGCTCACTGAAACCTCTGCCTCCTGAGTTCAAGCCATTTTCCCACCTCACCCTCCCAAGTAGCTGGGACTACAGGTGCATACCACTACACCAGTCTAATTTTCGTATCTTTAGTAGAGATGGGGTTTCGTCATGTTGGCTAACCTGGTTTCAAACTCCTGACTTCAGGTAAATCCACTTACCTCGGCCTCCCAAAGTGCTGCGATTACAGGCATGAGTCACTATGCCCAGCCCAATATAACATTTTTATATTACCTTTCCTCACAGGCTTCAGGATCCTTTGGAGTAAATGAAACAATAACCTCATGTTCTTCTCCAGGTTTAAGGAATATATTCTTAGGATCCACTGAAAAGTGACTTCCTTGTTCTGGGACCTAAACATAGTGACAGAATCATAACTGAATGTCAACTTACAACAATGTGGCTTTCACTCAGTCACTCCTGCCTTATGTGCCTTTCTCATTTACTAGGACAGGTTGTTTGTCCCCTCCTCATCTGTCACAGCCTCAACTTGTCCTATTCTCTTGGAAAGAATATTTCTTTCTCTTCTATAACAACCTTATCTTATACCTCACCCCCAATTTCAGATCACTAACTCCCTCTCACTCATCCTCAGGTCTCAGAAATGACGTCAATGTGTGTGGATCACTCTTCACCAATTCCAACCAAAGGGTGACATGCATGTTTGTCAGTAACTAATCTAAGAACGTGGTTCTCATATTTAAGACACTGGACTCTAAACTTAAAAACACCACAGTATATATTTTACAGTTTTTAAAAGCTCTCAGTAATTCTTTCATCTGATGCTCAGGGCATTCTGACAGGCCAAGCGGAGCACGCAGCCTATAGAAGGCAAGGAGCTCTCACAGTCTGAGGAAAGACTATCTTATAGCACTCTGACAGAAGTGCATACCTTGATATCCAAATGAACTTCAATGTTCCCAGCATTTTTCAAAGGTAAGTGCTGCTTTGTTGAGGAAGCCACTTTGGCCAAAAAATGCATCGTCTGGAGGACGGGGCAAGACAGACATTTCAACAAACTGTCATAAAGTGAATCAGCATGAAGGAAAGCAAATGGCAGAGAGGAGGAATGAGACTACCTGCAAATCCCTGGGGGCATGGATCCTAGCTATTCCTGCTCTTGCTCGGAGACTCACACTTCTAAGAACTGGTGTAGGGTTTGGGCTGTCAACTTCTATATCAACTTTTGCTGAGAATTCTTCTGCTGAGTCCAGAATCTCTAAAAAAGTTCATTCTTTTAGCTCAGAGAACAGTTATTTAATTCTAAACGCCATCAGCAGTCCCACACAGTGCCCTTAGGGGCAGTAAGAAAATTTAGGCAAGAATTATTTTTAAAGAGTTAAAAGAATAGAAATGAATGAAGAGAAAGGTGGAAAAAGAAAGAAAACATCCACCTGGTAAATGTGATAAGACAAATTAACATAAAATATTCCAAAAGGTTTTCAGTGCTGCCTGCAGGAGTTACCCACACTTACACAGGATTGTCCCAAAATAGTATGCCATCTGCTTCCTTTTCAAAACAGCCTACAGTACTTGACAAATTTCAAAGTATTGATATTTATTGACAAAGGAAATAAGTCCCAACTTTGTAGTTTATTTAGCTACAGATTAAAGCAATTCCTACAAAATGTAAACATGATACCTGTAGAGCTGATCTGTTTCTTTGGAGTATGAAAAAGAACCCAAATCATCAGAAATTCTGGATCCTATAAAATTAAAAGAAAAATCTGTCTTAATGTAAATTGGTATTAAGATTAAAATCTTAATGAAAGAAAAGCAGTTTAGAAGCTTAATTTCCTCTTAATTCTAAGCCAGTTCTCTCCTACCTGTCCATCATAACTAGCAGGCATCATGTAGTTGACCACAGAAGGGCCTGCTAGCCGAGTAACCATATCAGCGAAGGAAGCAACCTCTGCAGGCACTCGGACAGGTTCCTTGGAAAACGTGAAACAGCGCCAGGCTATGGCATTCTGTTTAGAAATACAAGAATCAGTTCAGTAAAGCCAACAGTGTAATGCTAACTTTGTTAACAAAATCCTTTAAAAAAAATGTACCTTCGTAAGATCAGTGCATTCTGGAAAGAGTTCCTTACTATATGTCATACTTACAGCATTAATAATCAGTCTAACTGGCACAGTGGCATGCGTCCGGTTTATTAATTTTAGTGGGAGGGCTTTCCAGCCTCCGTAAGTCAAGTCACCAAAATCAATAACATCTTTCTTTTCTGTTTCTACCTAATTAACGAAAAAAGGGATTTATGAAAAGCAATATATGAATAAATAGCACAACATGTATGTTCATAACACTGCCATTTCTAGCCACAAATTACAAGTCAGCATTAAGTAAAACTTACCTACATTTTCCCAGGCTATTTAACAATTACTTATTTTCTGCAAAAACAAATGTTAACTTCTTCTTTTGAGGTAGTCTACGTACCCAAATATACTATAGAATTAGGCTGCTGTTACTTCGTAAACACTTTATCTTAAGAGGAACTGGTAATTTTATAAAATTATAGACTCCTTTGCAATGAGTTCTATTATTAGAATAATGAGTTCTCAATATCCTTCTAAAATATCATGAATATCCTGGCATTTTCAGATTTAATCTGCAAATGTTAAAATGATATCAAACAGACATATCAAAAATTTAAAACAAGTGCCTACGATCACGACAGACTCATTTCCCTAAATGTGGGAAGCCAACCTAACTCAGACCCCTCACAAACCCACATGTGAAAATGTTTGACAGTACAGGAACCCCTGCAAGATATCAAAATCCATGGATGTCCCTGATATGAAATGTCATAGTATTTGCATATAACCTAGGCACATCCTCCTATATATTTCAAATCATCTCTAGATTACTTATGGTACCTAATACAATGTAAATGCTATGTAAATAGCTGTTATACTTTATTGTTAGAGAACAATGACAAGAAAAAAATGCATGTACATGTTCAATACAGATGCAACTACCCTTTTTTTATTCTGAATTATTTTGACCCAAGATTGGTAGAACACAAGAATGCAGAACCCACAGATACAGAGGGCTAACTATATTTTACACACACACACACACACACACACACACACACACACACGTATTTTGTTTTGCTCTAGCCAAAGACAAAATAAGTAGAGAACAAAGGCAGACCAGCAAGTGGGAGCTGACGTCCATGGTGCCCCAGGAAGGTCTGGGTTCCAGATTTGCCTTCAAGGTGGTAGAGCTTTAATACAATCCAGAGAACCAAGAAGAAAACATGTGATTTCAAGCTTGTTGTGAGCAGGGTGAGGCTGGAATGGAATTTGAAATCTGTGCATAAAGCCCAGAAACTCAAAAAAATAAAAATGAAAAGGGAACTGAAAAAAATTGTTCACATGTCTATGGAGTCAACAAGGAACCTGTCCAGAGATGAGTAGCATAGAAGATTATTTGCAAGAACATGAAAGCCTAGGCCTAGGTCACACTGGACATGAGAGCCCCAAGCTAAAAAAAAAAATCACAAAGGCTTTCAACATCTCCAACATTTCTGCAAAAGTACTCTCCAGGGACACTTCCAAAGACTACGACATGTCATGAAATTCCTAAAGTAAAAGGCAGCCTCAATGAATGTGAACACACATTAAAAATTTTTAAATATTAAAAAATTATAATCTACTAGAAGATAATCAGGAAGACTCAGAAAAAGTAACTAGTAGATGCATTAGTAACCCAAGAACTAGAAACATGAAATAAACTATGAAATAAGCTCACTTTAAATGTAGATAACAGAGTCCCTAACAGAGGGAAAAGCAAGAGATTCATGAAGCAATTGTGAGGAAAATGATATATAAACAGCTTGATAAATCTGTTAACAATGTTAATGTTGGGACTGTAAAAGCTGTTTAGAACTAAAACATTAGTCAAAGGTAACATGGAAGGAAAAGATGAGCATCTAAATGAAACGCTGTTTTCATCTTGTTGGAAGAGTTTGCTTTAGACATTTCATTATCGAAGTTATACATATTAATGTTGAAAATGAGCTATTTGAGGGGGTTCGGATGGTAACATGGCATTTTGAATACTGGCTTCCTTTCTTGCAGGCTTGATGTGCCTGGTGACTGAATTACTAGTGACTAGTTTACTAACTGGGCCATTCAAGGAAGTCAAGTTAACATAAAAGAAACATGCCACCTAAATGCACTTAATGGTGTTGAAATGTCCACCTTCTTAAACTGTGTGATAAGATTCGTTCTAAAGAAGATAGGAGGTCAACCCTGAAGTACTCCCTGTTTGTTGCAAAATCTCATGTTTTGGATGTTACAGATATCTCAGGAGAAACCCTACAGGCCAGAAGAGAGTGGAGGCCAATATTCAACATCCTTAAAGAAAAGAACTTTCAACCCAGAATTTCATATCCAGCCAAACTAAGCTTCATAAGGGAAGGAAAAATAAAATCCTTTGTGAACAAGCAAGTATTCAGAGATTTCATCACCACTAGGCCTGCTTTACCAGAGCTCCTGAAAGAGGCACTAAACATAGAAAGGAACAACCAGTACCAACCACTCCAAAAACATTCCAAATGCTAAAGAGCATCAACACAATGAAGAAACTGCATCAACTAATGGGCAAAACAGCCAGCTAGCATCAAATGGCAGGATCAAATTCACACATAACAATATTAACCCTAAATGTAAATGGACTGAATACCCCAATCGAAAGACAGACTGGCAAACTGGATAAAAAGCCAAAACCCATCGGTGTGCTGTATCTAGGAGACCCATCTCACATGCAAGGATACACAAAGGCTCAAAATAAAGGGATGGAGGAAGATTTACCAAGCAAATGGAGAGCAAAAAAAAGTAGGAGTTGCAATTCTCGTCTCTGATAAAATAGACTTTAAACAACAAAGATCAAAAGAGACAAAGAAGGACATTACACAATGGTAAAAAGATCAATGCAACAAGAAGAGCTAACAATCCTAAATATATACACACCCAACACAGGAGCACCCAGATACATAAAGCAAGTTCTTAATGACTTACAAAGAGACTTAGACTCCCACACAATAATAGTGGGAGACTTTAACACCCCATTGTCCGTATTAGACAGATCAACAAGACAGAAAATTAACAAGAATATCCAGGACTTGAACTCAGACCTGGAACAAGCAAACCTAATAGACATTTACAGAACTCTCCACCCCAAATCCACAGAATATACATTCTTCTCAGCACCACAGCACACCTACTCTAAAATTGACCACATAATTGGAAGTAAAGTACTCCTCAGAAAATGCAAAAGAACAGAAATCATAACAGACTCTCAGACCACGGTGCAATCAACTTAGAACTTCGAATTCAGAAACTAACTCAAAACCGCACAGCTTCATGGAAACTGAACAACTGGCTCTTGAATGTTGACTGGAAAAACAATGAAATGAAGGCAGAAATAAAGATGTTCTTCAAAACCAACGAGAATGAAGACACAACATACCAGAATCTCTGGGAAACATTTAAAGCAGTCTCTAGAGGAAAATATACAGCAATAAATGCCCACATGAGAAGCAAGATCTAAAATCGACACCCTATCATCAAAATTGAAAGAGCTAGAGGAGGAAGATTAAAAAAAAAAAAAAACTCAAAAGCTAGCAGAAGACAAGAAAAAACTAAGATCAGAGCAGAACTGAAGGAGATAGAGACACAAAAAAACCCTTCAAAAAATCAATTAATCTAGGGGCTGGTTTTTCGAAAAGATCAACAAAATAGACCAATAGCCAGATTAATAAAAAAGAAACAAGAGAATAATCAAATAGATGCAATAGAAAACGATAAAGGGGATATCAGCACAGATTCGACAGAAATACAAACCATCATCAGAGATCATTATAAACATCTCTATGCATATAAACTAGTAAACCTGGAAGAAATGGATAAATTCCTGGACACTTGCATCCTCCCAAGCCTAAACCAGGAAGAAGCCGAAACCCTGAATAGACCAAAAACAAGGTCTGCAGTTGAGGCAGCAATTAAGAGCCTACCACATAAAAAAAAGCCCAGGTCCAGACGGGTTCACAGCCAAATTCTACCAGACATACAAAGAAGCTAGTACCATTCCTTCTGAAACTATTCCAAGCAATCCAAAAAGAGGGATCCTTCCCAAATCATTTCATGAGACCAACATCATCCTGACACCAAAACCCCACAGAGACTCAGCAAGAAAAGAAAACTTCAGGCCAATATCCATGAAGAACATAGATGCAAAAATCTTCAATAAAATACTGGCAAACCAGTTGCAACAGCACATCAAAAAGCTTATCCACCATGATCAAGTAGCGTTCATCATGGGGATGCAAGGCTGGTTCAACATACACAAACCTATACATGTAATTCACCATATAAACAGAACCAAAGACAAAAACCACATGATTTTCTCAACTGATGCAGAGAAGGCCTTTGACAAAATTCAACAGGGCTTTATGCTGAAAACCGTCAATAAACTAGGTATTGATGGAATGTATCACAAAATAATAAAACCTATTTATGACAAACCACAGCCAACATCATACTGAATGGGCAAAAACTGGAAGCATTCCCTTTGAATTCTGGCACTAGACAAGGATGCCCTCTCTCACCACTCCTATTCAATACAGTATTGGCAGTTCTAGCCAGAGCAATCAGGCAAGAAAAAGAAATAAAGGGTGTTCAATTAGGAAAGGAGGAAGTCAAATTGTCTCTATTTGCAGACAACATGTTTGTATACCTATTAGACCTCATCGTCTCAGCCCAAAATCTCCTGAAACTGATAAGCAACTTCAGCAAAGTCTCAGGATACAAAATCAATGTGCAAAAATCACAAGCATTCCTATACACCAATAACAGACTTAAAGAGAGCCAAATCAAGAATGAACTGCCATTCACAATTGCTGCAAAGAGAATAAAATACCTGGGAATACAACTAACAAAGAATGTAAAGGACCTCTTCAAGGAGAACTACAAACCACTGCTCAACGAAATAAGAGAGGACACAAACAGATGGAGAAACATTCCATGTTCATGGTTAGGAAGAATCAGTATCATGAAAATGGCCATACTGCCCAAAGTAATTTACAGATTCAATGCTATCCCCATCAAGCTACCAATGACCTTCTTCACAGAACTGGATAAAGCCACCTTAAACTTCATATGAAACCAAAAGGGAGCCCACATAGCCAAGTCAATTCTAAGCAAAAAAGACAAAGAAGGAGGCATCA